ACAATATCTAGAAGTCGCAAGGCCCCTAAGAGTTGGGGTTCCTGGGGCTGGAGCAATAGTACAGTGGGGGAGGGCATTTGCCTTGCACTTTGCTGACCCGGGTTCAATCCCCGGTACAGCCAGAACTAACTCCTGAGTGCATACCAGGGGTAACCCCTGAGGAGCGCCGGGTGTGACCCCAAAACCAAAAAAGAAAAAAAAGGTCGGGGTTCCAGCCCCAAGGTCGACCCGTCCAAAAGAGATGGCCCTGCAGACAGCTGGGGACCCCCCATGACCCCGCACCCGCCCCGGTGGACAGCACCCCTCTCCCCGATCCCTTCACACAGCCGTCGCTGCCTCAGCCTCGCGAGCTTCCCCCCGGCCGCCTACCCAACGGGCTCGAGCCGCTCGAGCGGACGCCCCGGCCCGATCGGCCGCGGGCGCGGGACCGGCCCAAGCCGCGACGGCGGCCGCGGCCCCGCGAGGGCGGGGAGGGCGGGGGCAGCCGGCGCTCGCGCTCCGCCCCGGCCCAGGGCGGCTCCGCCCCCGCGCCGCCGCCGCCGCCCGCGCACACGGTGCAGCACGAGGGCTTCCTGCTGCGCAAGCGCGAGCTCGACGCTAACCGCAAGTCGTCCAACCGGTGAGCGAGTGGGCGGGGCCCAGGGCTCCGTATCCAATCAATGGGTGTGCGCTCCGGAGCAGGGGGTGGGACTACAGCTGGACGACGTCCAACCCGTGGCGGGGCCAGGCGAAGGGGGTGGGCTGGAGGCAGAGAAGGGCGGGGCTTAAAAGCGAGCATTCCTGAAGCTCGGAGGGGCTGGCTGCTTTACTTTTTACATGCGAGCTGAAATGCACAAACTTGTTCCGAACGTGAACAGTCGGGACCCAGTCTCGTAGCAACCACCCTCGGGGTTGACTAAAGCTAAAAGCAAAAACTGGATGTGAAGTCTAGAGGAATTCGATGATTTGTGAGGTGGAGCCTGGCGAGAAAAGCCAGTCCATCGGTGGGGTGGGACCCCCTCAGCAAGTTTGAAAGTGGGGGTGGACTAAAGCGGGAGGAGCTATCTGTAGGTTTCACGGTGGAGGCCGAAAGTGCAAGTGCCTGCACTTGCTCGATCCTTTTTGTCCCGCTTGGAATCTGAGAGGAGATGCAGGGTGGTCTGTGAAAGAAGCACTGGCCAAGCTGCTGGGAGACCTGGGAAGTGGGCAGACAGGTTCTTTGGGGTCTTTTCTCTTAAGTGTTGAGGCCAACGTGGGAATGAGCCCGGACACCTTGATGTATTTTGCTCATGAGAAATGCCTCCTGTGGGGCAAAGCATTAGTATAGTACTAGCCTAGTGCTTGACTAGTAGGTGGTTGACCCAAATTCAATTCCTGGCATCCCAGATGGTGCCCTGACCACTACCAGAAGTAATTCCCCCCAGTGCAGAGCTAGAAGTAACCCCGGAGCACTGCCAGGTGGGACCTCCTGGGCTGAGACTTTGGGGAGACAAGAACTCATTCCTGACAGACTACCTTCCTGGGTTGCTGGTGGGGGGTTACTGGGGTGCAATGGAGTGGTGAGGGTGGGGAAGGACCATGCATAAGCTGGAAGCTTTTGGGGAACTGCCTGTCTTCAGGAAATTCAGTCTGGAAGGGGATCGGAAAGGGCCAGCCCCATCAGAGGCCCCATCAGAGCGCAGGCTTATACTCAGAGACTCCGTCCTCAGCTTGGGAACAGCCCTGCGGAAGCTTACCTAGGCAGATGGCCAGAGCAGGGCAAAGACCCCCAACGGAAGGCAGGCTGCAGGGTGGCGGTGAAGAGCAGCAAACAGAGTTGCATGGTTCTGTCCTGAGTCTCTCACCCTCCCGTGGCCTCAGGTCGTGGGTGAGCCTGTACTGCGTTCTCAGCAAGGGAGAGCTGGGCTTCTACAAGGACGCCAAGGGCCCAGCCTCTGGGGGCACACACGGCGGGGAGCCTTTGCTCAGCCTGCACAAGGCCACCAGCGAGGTGGCTAGTGACTACAAGAAAAAGAAGCATGTCTTCAAACTCCAGTGAGTGCCCCCTCCCCCGGGGAAAGTGGGAGGGATCCAAGGCACACTGCCCTCTTCCTGGCTAGGGGGATGGAGGGGACAGGCCCGGCCCAGGACTCCCCCCAACCCAGTCCTTTATTTCCTTCCCTACAGGACCCAGGATGGCAGTGAATTTTTGCTCCAGGCTAAGGATGAGGTGAGATATACTTCTGGGCTGGCTGGCCTCTGGGGTGCAGTGGTCCAGTCACAGCCCAGAGGGAGTCAAGTCCCAAACCTTGTTGCGGGAAATGAGAAAGGAAAGGCAGAGGGTGTTGGACAGCCAATGAGCCTCAGGACAAAGGCTAGCCTCGCTGTCTCAGCCTCTTAGAGAAACAGAAAATGGGAGTTTGCATATTTTAAAATATGGGAATGAGAGTATAGCAGGGAGGGCATTTACCTTCATGTGGCCAACCTGGGTTCGATCCCCAGCATCCCATACAGTACCCTGAGTACCGCCAGGAGTAATTCCTGAGAGCAGAGCCAAGAGTAACCCCTGAGCACCCCTGGGTATGACCCCCCCAAAAAAAGCCAAAAATAAAAATGTGGGGATGAGGGGGGCCTGAGTGGTGCCTAAGCACCGCTGGGTGTGCCCAGAAACCAACAAGATTAAATAAATTTGTAAAAATAAAATGGAGATAGAAATAGCTTTCCTGGGGCCAGAGCAGTAGTACAGCAGGTAAGGCGCTTGCCTTGCATGCAGCTTTGCACCACGAGGAGTGATTCCGGTCACTCCTGATTGCTTGCTGTGACCAAAAAAAAACCCGAAAAAGAAAAAAAAAAAAAAAGCTTTCTGGGGCCTGGGATATAGCTCAGACGGCAGGTTGCTTGCCCGACATGTGGGAGGTGCTGGTTTTGATCCTGGCACTCAGCAGCACCCACAATGATAACAAGATAGTTTCCATCACAGGATGATGGTGAAAATGAAATAAATCGATTCATGGAGAGTAAGTGACACACGGTCTATTTAGGCCAGTGGTTGTCTGTGGATATTATCCCTGTTTTCTTTATTTTTATGGTGGGAATTAGATTTAATCCTATTCCAGGATTAAGTGAATCAGTCCATCAAACTGCTTAGAGCAGAGCCCAGCATGTAACATTGCATACATTTGTAGGAGAGGCAGTGGGGCTCCTCGTAGTGGTGCTCAGGGATCATGGATCACTCCAGATGGGGCTCAGGGCACCCTATTCCCTGTAGGGTTCTGTACCAGGGTTGGCCATACGCGGACTCTCTCTGTGCTATTTCTCTGGCCCCAGGTTCTGTTTCCAGCATCCCCCTGGTTGCCTGAGCCTACCAGCAGTGATCCCTGAGCACAAAATCAGGAGTAACCCCTGAGCAGCATCAGATGTGGCCCCCAAACCAAACACCCCTCCCCCAAAAAGAGGAAACTGAAGTTCTAGGAGGATCCTCTGATTCTAGAATCATCTATTATCAAATAGGGACCTGGTGATGTGGGGAGAGGGACCAGAGGTACAGCTCTAGGAGTTGATGCTACTACTCTCTAATTAAAAAAAAAAAATTAAAAAGAAAAGCTGAACAAACACAGACTGTGTTCCATTTCTTCTTCCAGGAGGAGATGAACGGCTGGCTGGAGGCGGTGGCCGCCTCGGTGGGGGAGCACGCCGAGATTGCACGTTGGGGACAGCAGACACTACCCACCACCTCCTCCACGGATGAGGGGAACCCCAAGCGGGAAGCTGGGGAGCGCCGGGCCAGCGGGCGCCGGAAGTGACTAACCCTAACCCGGAGGGTCCTCTCCACACTGTGGGCACAAAGACACTTTCTCTACCGCAGGGGCGGGAGCCCCTAGACACACCAACACTGCGGACGCGCCATGACGGGCACTGGAAAGGAGGGGACTTCTCCTGCACCCCGAAAGTGGTGGGGGGACTGCTGCCCCTATAGCCATATCTCGGCCCCTTCCCGCTCGCCACCCCCACCCCAGGTGCTGGGGCTCCATTATTTTTATGCAATAACTGAGCTTGGGGGAGGGGGGCGGGTCAGGGGCCAGTTGAGCCAAGCCCCCTGCCCCAGCCTCAGATCCTGCCCCAAGAAGCTGGGGTGGTGGGAGTGAAAATTCCTGCCCCCCCCCCCCTGCCCTCGGGATGGGCAAGGGGGCGCTGGTGAGGTCCCCTGGACCATCCAGGGTGCTAGGGGGTGGGGAGGGGACGCCCCTTCCCGCCTTTACCTCACTTCCAATGCTGCCTTGATCTCAAGTCTGGGAAGGGGGAGTGAAGGGGCGCGAACCTCCCCACACTCCGTCGCCTCAGAGCCATGCGGTTAATTCCTGATTTAGTTTATTTTTGCAAAACGTCGACCTCCTCCTCCCCCGCCCCGCATCAGCGAAGGCTTCTAACGGGAGGGGCGTCAAAGCTCAAAACGGTCTTCCTCTCTTCCCCTCCCGCCCCTCCAGCTGTTAATGTCACTTCGTGAGGGGAGGGGCGAGGGGAAGACCCCCTCCCCCGCCCCTGCATGCTTCTGGCTGGAGCACCTCCCCGGGGAGTGGGGGTACAGGGTCGTGGGCAGCCCCCATGGCCGCCTGGAGAAGCCGCTGGGACGCAGCGGTGAGGGGCGGTGTGGCAGGCGCACACTGTTCGAACCTACAATAAATCCTTCGGCTTTGACGGTCTTTGCTGGTTTGTTCGCGTTTCATGGGCTTGCGCCTGGGGTGGGGGTAAGGGTGGAGAGACCACTGCTGCAGAAGACGTTTACAGTGACCCTCTTGGGGTGAACTAAGGGGCCTGAATACGTGCCCCCTCCCCCGCATGACGAGGTACCTAGGTGCCACTCCTCAAATGACTCCGGAAGGATGGAGAAATGTTTTCCGCTACTCTCCGGAGCGGCAGCCGGGTCCGCCCCGTCCAGGACAGGAAAGGCGGGTCTCTTTAAGGAGGCGGGGGATTGAGCTGACGGCTGAGCGTTTTGTCCAATTGCCAGCAGCACCGGGGGCCTTCGGTCCAATGAGCGCGCGGCGAGGGCGGGGTCCGGTCGCACACCCGGAAGCGGGTGCAGACCCGCCGGCCGGCTTGCCGAGGGGGCCATGGCCGCGGCTGCGCCGGCCGCCGAGGGAGCCCCTGGACGGGGACCTCCCGGGGAAGTGATTCATTTGAACGTGGGAGGCAAGAGGTGAGCGTAAGGGACTCCCGAGGCCCCACCCTCGGGAGCAGGGAGCGGGACGGGAGCAGCCACCTGTCTCCCCGGGAGAATCTTGTCCATCAAGGGTTGCCCCGCCCCCTGCACCTGGACCAGCTCCGGGGACAAGGATTCGCCGGGCCGTAGAGCCGGGGAGCTGCATCGCTCACCCTCCAAACTCGCGTGCGCTTACTTTCCCCGCCCAGGTTCAGTACCTCTCGCCAGACTCTCACCTGGATTCCAGACTCCTTCTTCTCCAGGTGACCGGGAAAGCGAGTTTGGGGAGGGCCTGGGGAGGCCGAGGGAGAGTCCGGGGAAAGACCTCAGCGCGCGCGCACACGACCGGTGCGCACCCCTGGCCAACCCGGGCTGTCACAATCCCTCCTCACAGCCTTCTGAGCGGGCGCATCTCCACTCTGAAAGATGAGACCGGAGCCGTGAGTTGAAAGCCCAGAGCTTGAAAGGGGGTGGCCGTGTGGACGGACGGAACTCCGCCTCCCCACCCCCTGCTTTTGTGCCCCATTCACCACCTTCTGCAACCCTCCGCAGATCTTCATCGACAGGGATCCCACCGCCTTCGCCCCCATCCTCAACTTCCTGCGCACCAAAGAGTTGGACCCCAGGTTGGCATGGAGAATGAAGGGGTGCCCTCCACTGCCTTCATCCCTTGTCTCTTGCCCCTTCCCCATCCACTCCGCCAGGACCCCTCCCTGGGATGTTCTTTTGTGCTCCCTTTCAGAACCTTGATCAGGTTTTACTTCTATAGCACTGAATCCCCCTCCACAGTCTGCCCCGCCAGCCATGGCGCCTTAGAATCCTCATTTGTGCAGTTTTGCAAAGGTTCACACCAGAATCCTCAGCCCATGCCCATTTCCCAGACCCTGACCTCAGTCAATTCTACCTAGGGGTGTCCACAGTTCCAGCCTCCTCCACGAAGCCCAGTTCTATGGGCTCACTCCGTTGGGTAAGTGGGGGCCCCAGTTAGCATCCTCATTGGTAGGAAAGCCAATGTTGCCCTGTCTTACTCCTCTCCTTAGAGAAAATCGGGTTCCAGGCTAGAGCGATAGTACAGCTTGTAGGGCATCTTCCTTGCACCGGGCCGATTAGGGTTTGATCCCCAGCACTCCATATGGTTCCCTGAACCCCACCAGGAGTGATCCCTAAATGCAGAGCCAGAAGTAAGTCCTGAACATTGCTGGGTGGACCCCACTCCCCGGGAAAAAGAAGAAGAAAAAAAAGAAGGTTGAGTTAGTGCTAAGAGCAATCGGTTTGGTCCTGGGTCTAAACGGAGTAATGGTATGGGGAAGGCAAAGATGGGGGAAGTTTTCCCCAAGAGCCCCCATCAGCCTCAGGCTGCTCCAAGTCCTTCTGCCGCAGTTCGTCGTCTGCAGTTGCGGGAAGAGTTGGATCGATCTTCCTGCGGAAACGTCCTCTTCAACGGTTACCTGCCTCCACCAGGTGGGCACCACACTGAGGGATGAAGAACTCTAGGAATTGTTGTTCTATATGGAGGCTACCCAGAATCCATGGGAAGGAGTTAGAAATAGGATCCTTCACCCCACCCCCAAGAACCACTGGGAGTGATTCCTGACCCTAGAGTCAGAAGTAATCTCTGAGAATCACCGGTGTGACCCAAAATGGCAAAAAAAGGAAAAAAAGAAATGGAACTATGTTAGTGCCTTGGAGGCACAGAAGCCTGCCTGTAACCTGCTGGGGTTGTAGTTCAGGTTGAATTTCTCTAGGAAGAGTCTCTTGTGGAGAGAAGAAAGACGGAAAGGGAGTGGAAGAAGGCATGGAGAGGGGACAATTCGGTGAAGCATATTTTCCTAACCACAGTCAACCCCTCCTGCCTTCATGAATTTTGCCAAATAAAAATAGCTACAGTTGGGTTTTTTTTTTATTTTTTCACCTTTTTTTTTCTTTTGGGGTCACACCTGGCGATGCACAAGGGTTACTCCTGGCAGTACTGGGGAACCATATGGGATGCTGGGAATCGAACCCAGGTCAGCCACGTGCAAGGCAAATGCCCTACCCGCTGTGCTATTGCTCCAACCCACACATTTGTGGTTTTGATGTCCGAAGGTCCACAGGGGTTGATACAGGATGGACAGGCCCTCCACCACTGAGTCGTATCCCTGAGCCCTATGCTATAGTTTTCTTAGCTTTGCCTTGTTTAAAAAAGATGAATTTTAGGGCTGGAGCAATAATACAGCAGGTAGGGTGTTTACCTTGCATGTGGCTAACCCAGGTTTAAACTCCGCACCCATATGGTGTCCGGAGTTTTGCCAGGAGCGAACCCTGAAATGCAGAGCCAGGACTAACCCCTGAGCATTGCCAGGTGTGGCCCCAAAACAAAAATCATTTGAAAATCTAAATAAACATTATTTTTAGTGCTGGAGTTTTAGTACAGCACAGAGGGCATTTGCCTTGCATGTGGCCGACCGGGGTTTGATCCCCAGCATGACATAGGGTCCCCTGAGCACTGCTAGGGTGATTGCTGTGAGCACAACACTGACTGTCTCCACCCTTTCTCCCCATTTAAGTCTTTCCGGTGAAGCGGCGAAACCGGCACAGCCTGGTGGGACCCCAGCAGCCTGGGGGCCGCCCTGCGCCCGTCCGACGGAGCAACACCATGCCCCCCAACCTGGGCAATGCCGGGCTGTTGGGCCGCATGCTGGACGAGAAGGTCTCGCCTTCCCCTCCAGGTGGGAATCTGTCTCCCCAGAGATTGGGGGGTGGGGGGTCAGTGGACCCCAAGACCTTGACCTTGACTGCCCCGCCCCCGCAGGGCTGCCCGAGGAGCCCGGGATGGTGCGTTTGGTGTGTGGCCACCACAACTGGATCGCTGTGGCCTACAGCCAGTTCCTGGTCTGCTACAGGTGACCGGGTGGGGGCCTGGTGCTGTGCCCGGGCGGGCAATTGACAAGGGCCCATGACGCCTCCCGCTTCCCTGTAGGCTGAAGGAAGCCTCCGGCTGGCAGCTGATCTTCTCCAGCCCCCGCCTGGACTGGCCCATCGAGCGGCTGGCCCTCACCGCCCGGGTGCTGGGTGGGTTGCCGGGCGAGCATGACAAGATGGTGGCTGCGGCCACGGGCGGCGAGATCCTGCTGTGGGCCCTGCAGGCCGAAGGCGGTGGCTCCGAGATAGGTATGGTGTCCCGCATGTTCTAGAACCTTCCGTCTATTTGAATGCCAGTCCCGCCCATGGCCTTCGAGGGTCTCGCCCCGCGGGAATTCTGGCACCCGCTCAGAGAATCAGAAAATTATCCTGGGAATTTCATACAGTTTTCAAACCCTGAAAATTGTGTTTTTGGGGAACCGGAGAGAGTAGAGCAGGTAAGGCATTTGTCTTCCCCGTGACTGATCTGGATTTGATCCCCAGCACCCCAGAGGGGGCCCCCAGGATCCCTGATCCTGGGCACAGAGCAGGAGTCAGCCCTGAGCACCACCAGGTGTGGCCCCAAATCAAGTCACTTCTAAAGCCCTCCGATTCAGAGCGGAGGGGCAGCCCACTGAGCACTTCCTGCCCTCCGTAGGAGTCTTCCATCTGGGGGTGCCCGTGGAGGCCCTGTTCTTCGTCGGGAACCAGCTCATCGCCACCAGCCACACGGGGCGCATCGGGGTGTGGAATGCCGTCACCAAGCACTGGCAGGTGAGGCCCACCAGTACTGGCCAGTGGGAATTCTCCCAGCTTTCCTGCAAGTCTCCAGGAAGGGGACTCCTTCCCACCCTTCCCACCCACCTCGAGAGAGCCCAGCTCTGGGCCAGAGCCTGGGGACTCAGCCTCTAATGGCCTGAGGGTCATCAGGGAGGCCTTCCTGGAAGAGGGGTCAAGGCCAGGCTGGGAGGAAGAATGGTGGGCTTGGGATGCTCCTGGCACAGGAGTCCCACGCCCCGAGAGGCTCCCACGCTCCTGCACCCACCTAGGCGAGTCTGCTGTGGTGGGAAAGAATCCGTGCGTGGCCTTGCTTTCTCCTCCTCGGTGTGTGAGAGAGGAGAGAGAAGCAGGGAGTCAGCAAAAATTCGGGGTGGGGGTGGGGGCCGTAGACTAGGCGGCTCATCGGCAGCCTGTGGAGAAGGCAGCCGAGACCTTAGTCACTCAGGAATTGGGCCAGGAAGCACTGAGACCCACCAAGATGCCTGCAGAAAGTTTTGTTTGAGTTTTGGAACCACACCTGGTTGTGCTCAGAGGTCATTTCTGAGCTCAGGGTTCAGGGGACGCTATGGGGTGCCGGGGGGCAAACATGGTTAAGACACACACTCTGCAAGTGCCCTCCCTGCTGTACTGTCTCTCTGGAAGTATCTTAAACCTTTTCTTCTTGCTGGGGTTTTGTTTTGATTTGGAGGCCACAGTTCTGGGCTCCTAGCTCTGTGCTCAGGAGTGACCCCTGACTGTGCTTTGGGGAACTGTATGTGGAGCCGCCTTCAAAGTTGGGGTCAGGCACGTACAAGGCGAACTCCCTAACCCCTGCACTATCTCTCTCACTTTCTCTCTCTCTCTCTCTCTCTCTCTCTCTCTCTTACTATAGACTCAAATTTGAGTCCTAAATTTCAACCATGAAATTGATCAATAGTTTTTATGCTTTAAAATCTAGCTTCATGGAAAATAAAAACCCATTCAACACTTTCTGCAGTTTTTCAGTCTTGATTTAAGACTAGGTCTTTTCTTCCTTTCATTTCTTTTCTTTCTTTTTCTCTGTCTCCCCCTTCCTTTTCTCCCTTCCTTCCCTCTTCCCTTCCTTCCTTTCTTTCTTCCTTCTTTCCTTCCTTCTCTCATCTCTCCCTCCCTCCCTCCCTCCTTCCTTCTCTCCTTCCTACCTTCCTTTTTTTCCCTGTCCTGTCTCTTCCCTTCCAGTTCGGGGCTCAGGGGCTGCTCCTGGTAATTCTCAGGGGACCATGTGGGACCACCTTCTGCAAGGCCAGTGCCCTGCCCCCTAGACTATCTCGCTGGCCCGAGCCACATTCAGAGACAGCTCGGGAGAGGCCTGGTGTGTGCAGGATGGGAGAGCTGTGGGCCCATTCCGGGCTGGGTTCTGGAGTGGGGAGGAGAGGGCCGGCCCACAGGACACCTCAGAGGCAGGGCCACGCACTGTCCTGTGGCTCCAGGTCCAGGAGGTCCAGCCCATCACCAGCTACGATGCAGCCGGATCCTTCCTCCTCCTCGGCTGCAACAACGGCTCCATCTACTATGTGGGTGAGCACAGCCCCCCTGGTGCCCTGCAGCCTCTGTGGGTCTGGGCAGGGCCCCGCTCAAAGCCCAAACAAACCTGTCTGCTCCTGTGACCCCAGATGTGCAGAAATTCCCCCTGCGCATGAAGGACAACGACCTCCTGGTCAGTGAGCTCTACCGGGACCCAGACGAGGATGGGGTCACAGCTCTCAGCGTCTACCTCACCCCCAAGACCAGTAAGCCATGGCCTTGCCTACCCCCTCTGCCAGCACAGCCCCCGTCCACCACCGTCCCCTGCCATGGCCTGTGGGATGGAAGCAGAGAAGGGTCAGGACCTCTCATATAGCCAGTCAACAGACACTTCAGGAGTGCACTTTTTTTTTTAACGGGTTTTGTTTGGGGGCCACACCTGGCGATGCTCAGGGGTTACCCCTGGCTCTGCACTCAGGGATCACTCCTGGTGGGACTCGGGACCATGTGGAATGCCGGGATCCAACCCATATTGGCCATGTTGCAAGGCAAACACCCTCCCCACTATACTTCCCCTTTGGCCTCTTTATCTTTTTGAATGAAGACAATTTTATTAAGAGAACAGAAAGAAAGGGGAAGCATCCAGAAGCCTAGGTGGAATGAAGGGTGAAGGGTGTCTCCTCATTTCCTCTTTTACTGTTTGTTTGTTTTTTTGGGTTTTTTTTTTTTGGCTGGGGACACACCCACCGCTGCTCAGAATTTACTCCTGGCTCTGCACTCAGGGATCAGTCCTAGCAAGGCTTGAGGGACCCTGTGGGGTGCAGGGATTCAACCCAGATTGACTGCGATCTCCTGGAAGGGCCGTGAGCACCACCTGAAGGAGCTTTTTTTTTTTTTCCCTTCTTAGGTCACACCCAGTGATACTCAGGGGTTACTCCTGGCATTGCTTGGGGGTCCATCTGGGATGCCAGGGATCGAACCCGGGTTGGCTGTGTGCAAGGCAAATGCCCTACCCGCTGTACTACTGCTCCAGCCCCACCTGAAGGAGCTTTTTTGCCCAAGGGCTCACTGAACCTCTCTGCTAGATGAGAGTGCCAGCCTCCTGCCCAGAAGGCAGAGACAGAAAAAGAAATGCAAAGATGAATAAAGTGGGGGGCAGTGCCTGGGAGTGACAGCCACCAAGGCTGGGCCCTTGGGGCAGCGCAGATACACAGGCGCGCTGTGGGAGCATAGCGCTAGTACAGCAGTGTGGGCACTTGCCTTGGAGGTGGTGCCAGGGATTGAACCTGGGTGGGCCACGTGCAAAGCTGGTGCCCTCCCCACTGTGCTATCACTGCAGCCCCTAGGTTTCTCTTTCAATGGTGAGGATTTTCTGAGCTTTTCTTTTTTGTTTTTGTTCTTGTTTTTTTGGGGGGGGAGTGGGGTGAGTGGTTATTTAGTTTTATGTGATGGGAGGTGGGGGCACTGCCATTGATGCTAAAAATCTAACTGAAACCGAAGCATTTATTCCTGCCTGCCCCAGCCCCTGGCCTTTCTCTGACTGTTCCTCGATTTTGGAGGTGCGGGCTGTGGGCCGTACCCTCACAGTGCTGGGGGACCACGTGTAGTGAATCCAGGCCTCCTGCCACCCCCAGCCCACAGCACCCTCTCCCCGAGCCCTCCCTGAGTGTCGTCCTCTGTTGTCCGCCCACTCACCGCTGTGACCTCCACCTGACCTCTCTGTGTGACCCCGGCTTCCCCCTCTCTCTCTGGCCCCCACCAGGTGACAGTGGGAACTGGGTTGAGATTGCCTACGGCACCAGCTCTGGGGGAGTCCGGGTCATTGTGCAGCACCCCGAGACCGTGGGCTCGGGCCCGCAGCTCTTCCAGACCTTCACAGTGCACCGCAGCCCCGTCACCAAGATCATGCTGTCAGAAAAGCACCTCATCTCAGGTGACTCTGGGCACCTGCATCTTTGTCCCCACGGAGGCAGAGGCAGTGTATAGAGGAACCGGTCCCCCAGTGCCGTGGCCTGCAGGAGCCTAGCCCAAGGATCGGCCTAGAGAGAGTTTAGCAATCTGGAACCTGCATTTATTGGGCACCAAGTGTGTACCTGATGCAGGGGCCGCAGTGGCAGGCAGGGCCCTTGCTTTTTTTTTTTCCTGTTTGGGTCACACCTGGCAATGCACCAGGGTTCCTCCTGGCTCTGCACTCAGGAATTACTCTTGGCGGGGCTCAGAGGACCATATGGGATGCTGGGAGAATACAGAGCCAGGAGTAAGCCCTGAGCACCACCAAAAAAAAAAAAAAAACCCTATGGAGAAAAAGGGGTCATGGGGAGGCGAGGAGTGGGGAGGTGTCCCTGGAAAGCAGGGCCAGCAGAGCCGCTATGAGGGGACATGGGGCCGCTCAGGAGGAAACAGGCTGGGAACGGCGCAGCTGGGAGGGTCTTGAACCGGGAGCGGAAGCGGCGCCTGGGATGCTGAGGGAGGGGTGACTGGGACAAGGGAGGCCTGTGGGTGCCTGGGGCTAGGAGGACATCCAGGGCCTGAGGGGAGGGGGGACAGTGGCAGCCGCAGCAGCAGGACCAAGCACTAACCTCACCCTCTCCGCAGTCTGCGCCGACAACAACCATGTGCGCACGTGGTCCGTGACGCGCTTCCGCGGCATGATCTCCACGCAGCCCGGGCCCACCCCACTCGCCTCCTTCAAGATCCTGGCGCTGGAGTCGGCCGTTGGCCAGGGTGGCTGCAGCGCGGGCAATGACATTGGTGCGTGCACTGTGTCCCCGGACCCCTGCTGACCCCGAGATCCCGCCTGACCCTTGCTGACCTTCATTTATCCCCAGCCGGTCCCACCACCCCCCATTAATTTTTGCACCCACCTGTGAGTCCCATGGACGCCCCCCTCCACACACACCCCCAAAGGGCCTGGACCCACCTGCCTGCTTCCGCCACCAATCCTGTGTGAGGTGCAGTGGGGAGGGAGGTGCCTGGGACCCCACTGACCCGACTCTTCTGCCCCTCGTGAACCTGACCAGGCCCCTACGGCGAACGAGACGAACAGCAGGTTTTCATCCAGAAGGTGGTGCCCAGTGCCAGCCAGCTCTTCGTGCGGCTATCCTCCACTGGGCAGCGGTGAGGCCAGGGGCCGCGGGGGACAGGCGGAGGGGGAGACAGAAACGGGGGATAGGCGGAGGGGGAGAGAATGGGTCCACGGAGCATGGGAGCCCAGAGGTGCTTGTACCTGTGGGAAGGGGCCTGGGAAGGCTCCCTGGCTTTTCTGGGGAACATTGACCCCGCCAGATGGGTGGAGGCCAGGTGTGGGTGGGCCTGAGTCATCCAGGCTGGAGATGATTGGGACGGCCCTGAGGGAGATCTTCCCTGAGATGCATCTGGAATGTTAGGATGGACGTGCGGGAGGCAGCCGCAGCCCCAGGAAGCCAGGGATACCTGCAGGGGGTGCTTAGAAGGTGCCCCTGCGGTGTCCACAGAGTATGTTCAGATGGTGCTCCTGGAGTGTCCACAGGGGGTGCTAACGGGTGCTCCTGAGTACCTGCAGGGGGTGCTCAGGGGATGCCCACAGCGTGTGTTCATGGGGTACTCTGGGATGCCCATAGGGTGTGCTCCGTGCGCTCCGTGGATGGCTCCCCGACCACCGCCTTCACTGTGCTTGAGTGTGAGGCCTCCCGCCGTTTGGGCTCCCGGCCCCGTCGCTACCTGCTCACTGGCCAGGCCAACGGCAGCCTGGTCATGTGGGACCTGACCACCGCCATGGATGGCCTTGGCCAGACCCCAGGTATGGCTGCCCTGGCCCCGGTGCTTGGCCGCTCCTGCACTGGCCTGACAATGCCCGACTAACGCGTCCCTCCTATCCTGACCGCTGTCCTGGCGCCCGACCCTTGACCCTTGCCTGACCCTTCTCTTTCCCCTGCCTGGCCCCCAGCCGGAGGCCTGACGGAAGAGGAGCTGATGGAGCAGCTGGAGCAGTATGAGCTCACCCCACTGGCCTCCTGGCGGGGCTCCTTCCCCAGCCCCTCGCCCCACGCCTCCCTCACCAGGTAGGCTGGCCTCTGTGTGTGGGAGGGGAGAGGAAGGGAGAGCACCATGGCCCTCCGGTGACCGGTACTGACTGCATTCCCCCCGCTCCAGTCTCCACTCAGCCTCCAGCAGCCCCTCCCTGTGTGGGCGCCGAGGGAGCCCCAGTGCCCCCCAGGCCGAGGCCCGGCGTCGTGGGGCAGGCAGCTTTGTGGAGCGCTGCCAGGAGCTGGTGCGGGGTGCGCCCGAGCCCCGACGGCCACCCACGCCCGCTCCTAAGCCCCACACGGCACCCCCCAAAGTGAAGCTCAACGAAACATCCTTCTGAACACACCTGCCACTGTGCCTCTGGATACACAGGTCTTGGGGGCACTCACATGCCTCCCCGCCTCCTGGCAGAGCTCTGGGTTCAGGGCCAGGGCCTCCATGGAGTGGTGACTGTTACAAAAACCCCACTGCCCCCTCTTCAGAGCCAAAGTCCTACACTCACCTAATAAAGTTCTCACTGCCAGTACCTCATTTGTGTTCTTGGAGGGCCCCAGCATCCCCGGAAATAAGGTGGGGGAGATGTGGGGCTCAGCCAACTCTCTGGCTGCACGTTCAAGAACATCTGCTGTTGGGGGTTTAAGAGCAGAAGGAGGATGCATTGGTTTCCAAGCTGGCATTTAGGCATGGTTCTATCCAGGGGCTCAGAGTCTGTTCGTCACCTCACTAATTCTGGATTTCCCCTCTGTGATCCACAAGCACTCCAGGTGCGCCCTTGACAACTTTTATTCCCAAGGCGTCTCATTCTGGTGTCCCCTTGCACTCCTTTGCACTTCACTCTGGGCTCACCAGCATCTTTTTTTGTTTCTTTTTGCATCATACCCGGCGATGCACAGGGGTTACTCCTGGCTCTGCACTCAGGAATTACTCCTGGCCATGCTCAGGGGACCATATGGGATGCTGGGAATCGAACCCGGGTCGGCCGTGTGCAAGGCAAATGCCCTACCCGCTGTGCTATCGCTCCAGCCCCTCACCAGCATCTTTTTTTTTAATTTATTTTTTATTTATTTTTTTAAATTTTTATTAGTGAAACACTACGAGGTACAGTTGTAGACTTACAGATTTTTGTGCTTAGGTATCAGTTATACAATGATCGAGTACCCATCCCTTCACCAGTGCCCATTCTTCACCACCACTAATCCCAGTATCCCTCCCACCCCCCCATCCCCCAAAATCCCACCCTGCCTCTGTGGCAGGACATTCCCTTTTGTTCTCTCTCCTTTGGGGTGCTGTGGTTTGCAAAAGAGGCACTGAGAGGTGATCCTGTTTGGTCTGTAGTCTACTTTCAGCATGCATCTCCCATCCTCGGTGGATCCTCCCAACACCCTTTATTTGGTGCTCCCTTTTCTATCAGAGCTGCCTTTTCCCCCAGCGTGTGCGACTGGCCTCCAAGCCATGAAGTAAACCTCCTGGTACTTATCTCGGCTATTCTTGGGTGTTAGTCTCCTATTTTGTTACTTTATGTTCCCCAGATGAATGCAATCTTTCTATGTCTGTCCCTCTCTTTCTGACTCATTTTGCTTAGCCTGATACTTTCCATGTAGTACCACTTGTATGTAAATTTCATGACTTCATCTTTTCTAACAGCTACCTAGTGCTCCATTGTCTCACCAGCATCTTGACTTGAGCAGTGTCATTTCTCCCCAACAATGCACTCCGGCCCAGGAGCCCCAGATTCCTACTCTGCCATGCACATTTCTTTCCTTCCCAGCTTCTCTCTCATTCCTTTCCTATTTCCCAAATAACACAATTTCACTTTATTAAAACAAGAAAGCAGGGACCAGAGCAATAGTACAGCGGGGAGGGCATTTGCCTTGCACGTAGCTGAGCCAGGGCCGATCCCTGGCATCCCATGCGGTCTCCTGTGCCCTGTGAGGAGTGATCCTTGAGTGCAGAGCCAGGAGTAAACCCTGAGCATTGCCGGGTGTGGCCTCAAACCTCAAAATAATAATAAAATGCGGAAATAAATCATCTGTGGTTCCCATGGGCTTGAGTGTTCCCACTGGCCGGGCCCCACTGTCAAGGCCACTGACCGCCGCTGCAGGGGGAGGCCAGCGCCCCTTGGGGAGCAGAGGGGAGCTTGGAATTGGGAGAGTTGTCAGCAGCCAGCGTGCAGGAAGAGAAACACAGATTCCAGCTCTGCTGGCCACAGGCTCCACGTGTGGACCCCACCCGCACTCCCATGGGCAGCTTGGTCCCGCATGGCTGCCCCTTCCTGAACCCTTCAGCGGCTCTCACCATGCAGGTTCGGCTCCGCCCCCTGCGGACATCCTTCACATCCCCCCCCCCCCGCCCCCGCCCCCCCAATAAAAGTTCCCCACGAAAGATCTGCAGGGGCCAGGGACGTTACCTGTGTGGCTTCTGAGGCCTGTAAAGAGGAAAGCAAGCACATCAAGACAAAGAACAAGGACTTTGGAATATGTTAACTCTGAACTGATAGTTTCTGTACCGCGGCAGAGAGGATCCTAGGATATTCAGAAGCAAGGAGCACCTCAGAGAATCCAGACAGTTTCTAGCATGAGGACCTGGTCGACAAGGGGGTGCCAAGCGGGGCTGATTCACAGTGCCCATACATCTCCGGCGCAGCAATGATTGGCAGCTCTGGGACTCAGGAAAAAGGACAATGAGAGGGCCCAGATGTGAACCAGGTTTGGGGGCAGACCTAGGAGCAGGGGTGTGTCCCTGGGGTGGCAGCCCTGCTGGGTCACTGGAGGACTGGTTTGCACCCCCAAGAGATCTGTACTGGCAGGGTCAGGGGGAAGCTAGAACAAATATGGATGAGCCTAGAAGGTGAGAGTGTTGGGAAGGCCTGTGAGGGGCAGAATATCCTTTTTCTTTTTAAGTTAGTTACTCTGACATTGCAAAGTTATTTTTGACTGAGTTTCAGGCATACAATGTTTCAACACCCATAACTTCCCCAGTGCCCACTTTGGTTCCCTTCACCAAGTCCCCCCCTCCAGTGTCCCCCACCCCATTGGCCTCCCGCCCACCAGTCTGCCTCTGTGGGTGTCTGCTTGCCTGTGTGTGTGTAAACCACATGCACGACCTGTGGTTTACAGCAGTGTTGCTGATCCGGTTTCATACAAAACACTTTACCACATTTCAGCGCTACCTCCTTGGGCTTCAGGCATCCCTCCGCCATAGATGTTTCCCCTCTCTGTCCCCCAAGTGGTATATTTCCTACTGATTGACAGTCCTCATTTCTTTGTCTCCAACGCCTTTAGGCATTTGTTATTCCACTGTTAGTTTTTTTTATATTCCCACATATGAGACAGATCATTCTTTTTAAAAAATAAATATTTTTTAATTGAATCACAGTGAGATACACAATTACGAAGTTGTTCATGATTGGGTTTCAGTCATACAGTGTTCCAACACCCATCCCTTCGCCAGTGTACATTCCCTACCAACAATGTCCCCAGCTTCTCTCCCACCCACCAGCCTGTCTCTGTGGAGAGCACTTTTCTTCTCTCCCTCTCTCTCTCCTCCCTTTCTCTCTAAGAGAGATCAATCTGTGTCAGTCTCTCTCCCTCAGACTATCTTTGCACAACATGATACTCCCCAGATCCCTTCATGTAGCAGCAAATTGCATGATTTTTTATCTCAAAATATTTTTTTTGTTTTGGCTTTTGGGGTCATACCCAGCGATGCTCAGGGTTTCCTCCTGCCTCTGCTCAGGATTGCTCCTGGCCATGCTGGGGGACCATATGGGATGCCAGGGATCGAACCCGGGTTGGTCTCATGCAAGGCAAATGCCCCACCCACTATGCTATCGCTCTGGCACCAAAATAGTTTCTATTGTATGACACTTCCTTCAGAAGGGCTGAGAGGACAGATCAGAGCCATAGTACACATAGGACACTTTCCTGGCATAGGGCTGACCCAGGTTCAATCCCCTAAGCCCTGCCAGGAGTGGTCTCCGAACAGAGCCAGGAGAAAAGCCTGAGCACTGCTGGTTGTTGCCAAAGAGAGAGAGAGAGAGAGAGAGAGAGAGAGAGACAGAGACAGAGAGAGACAGAGACAGAGACAGAGAGACAGAGACAGAGAGATGTGAGGAGAGAGAAAGAGGAAATGCGTGTTCAAGACAGGATACAGGCTTCTCAAGGGTGGAAAAGGTGGCAAGCAAAGAGACTCAAAGATAAACAAGCTATGAGCTATGTGTTCAAGGGAGAAAACAGGTTTGAAGAGCAAGCATCAAACATTGTTTCTCTACTCTAGGGTGATACTTTCATGTAGGAAGTCACGTAGGAGGTGGGGTGGGTAGGAAATCTAGGCTTGGAGGGGTTTGGTGATGCTAGTGCATCTCGGACAGGGAAACTATTTTGTCCTGGGCAGGGAATCTAGATCACACATATTTCTAGAATGCTGGTGAACTTCTGGAATGGACAGATGAGGAACTATCAGAAAATCTGGAGCAAGAAAGTGTTTTGTTAGTGCCAGAGTTAAAGTCGTGCGTGAACATCAAAGCGGAGGAAGTGTCTGGAATATCCTGGCTCGAGAACTCCGGGACTCTGAGAGGGTGAGATCAGATCAGTCGCCAAGGGGTGACATCGAAAGCACCCCGGGAGCTGGTGGCACTGATGGGAGGGACTGGCACTGAGGGGGAGGGGAAGCTAACGCCATCGCCGGAAGTTGCAGTGGTGAGCCAGAGGCTGTTGCCTAGCAACGAGCATTGAAGATACCCTGGATCCCAGACAGAAGAGAGAAATTTCGGCAGCGCCCCCAGCAAATGCTCCAGCTCCAGGGTAGGATGTGGGTAAGGGGGCAACGGGCGCAGGGCCACACCATGCTGTAGGGTCACACCTTGGAGCAGAGCTCGCGGGGGGCCACCCAAGGACAGGGGCACGAAGCACATGCCGTGGGCAGAGCCTGACACATCATCATCGTGCTGGGACACCCCAAGAACACCCGTGAGTGGGGCCTGAGTGGGGCGGTTCCTGCTTCAGGGTGGGGGGGCTGAGTGGCCTCGGACCATGGGTGGGCGCGGAGGTCCGGGTGTCTGTGTGGGAGGAGGCGGAGATGGCAGTCCGCGGGAGTAACTGTATGTGTGTAGCCTGTGTGTGTGTAGCTGTATGAGTCAGCCTGTGTGCCTCATTGGAACGAGGGAGGGTGATGGGGTCTCCCATCTGCTGTGCACACCTTCCGTGAGTAGCTGGACGGCAGATGAGGCTGCAAGGAGGAGGTGCATGCAGGGGCCCAGGGTTGCACCCCCCAGCACTCCATGATGCCCGATCGCCATCGGGAGGGGCTTCCTAGCTATCACCGGGTGTGCAAACAATTTTTTTTAAAAAGCCGGAGCAGAAGGAATAGCAGCCAGGAGGAGGTCAAAGCTGCGCCCGCTGCTGTCTTAGTGCAGGACCCGGCCTCCGGACAGGGCAGGTGGTCTAGCAGCCTGCGTGGGTGGAGCCTTGGTGGGCGGGACCTGGTGATGGGCGGGGCTCTGTTCTGTGGGGGCGGGGCTAAAGCTACAAAATCTGAGCCCTCCCTCGCTCCCTCCCTCTGTTTTTTTCCCCCCCCTCCCGATTTGGGGGCTACACCTGGCGGTGCTCAGGGGTTACTTCTAGCTCTGCACTCATGGTGGGGTCACTCTTGATGAGCTCGGGGGACCATATATGATGCAGGAGATGGAACCAGGCTTTGTGTGGGCAAGACAAACACCCTCCCCACTGTACTATCTCTGCAGCCCCGGAAAGCTTCCACTTCACACGGAGTTGGAGCCAGGAGACCTGCCTCCAAGCGACATAAAAGGGGTGGAGTTTAGGAGGCTAGGAGTGAGCCACACCTCAATTCTCTGTGGGGAGGGGTATTGCCTGAAACTCAGGAGAAGGGGCCCTCAGGCGGGATGGGGGCTATATCTGAAGTTCTTGGGGCAGCACCTTTTGGCAAAGAGAAGCAAGGTTTGTAACTGTGAGGCTGAAAGTTGGGACTTTGGCTCTATAATGAAGGGAAGGGGCTGAGACTGAGCTTAAGTTAGAAGGCTGAGAGTAGGGCTTGGAGTGTGGGACACCTGAAAAGAGATTCAGGTGGGTCCTAAGTCCCTGTGGCTTGGGGTTCCTAATGATAGAGGGCACTGGGTAGGAAGTGGACTGGCATGGAGTGCCTAAGGATTAGAGTCTACTTCTGGGGAGGGAGGGGGGTAGGGAGCTTTCAGGGGCTTTGAAGATCCAGGCAGGTAACATCTGGTTCCCTCTAGAGGCTGCCCGTGCAGTGGGGTGCGGGGCAGGCAGCATGGCCAGGAGCCCTTTGCAAGTGGTTCAGGGGCAGAGGCTACAGAGTTCTCAGGACCAGTATTGTTTGCTGGGCCTGGGACCCTGAAACTCAGAGCCTTTGGGATTGGGGGAGGGAGACCGGAAGAGAGGGTTGGGACTACACCCTACCTTGCTAAAAAGGACGGCTCCGTGCTGAAGGGTCACTTGCAGACCGTAGGGGCTCTTGAGCAACACCAGATGGATGGAGTTGGGGTGGTCCCCGGGTTTGCTGCACGCAAGTCAGGTGCCTTAACTCCTGGGCTCTCTCCTACTCTGTGCAGGGTCTTTGGAAGATCTGGAGTAGATTTGGGCTCACCAGAGGAGACGACCATGGGACCTTAGTGCAAGGTAAGCGCTGCGTTCCCTACGCCTGCGTTTCTCTCGCGAGGAATCAGCGTCTGCAGGAGCTCGCAGCATCCATATCATTGAGGGAGCCGCTTCAGATTCCACACTAGGCAGAGATGAGGCGAGCAGGTGGGAATGTCGTTGAGGGGCTCCTACCGCCGCCTACTCATCCCTCCCAGTGGTGGGAGGGGTTCCGGCCACTCCAAAGAGGCCCCCCTCTCCTTCATTCAGTTAGGAGCTGACTCGCTTTCTCCCCACCCAAAGCTCGGAGAACTCCAGAACCAGGCGCCCCCCTGCACCTGTCCCTCTAGCCCCGCCCCTGCCGCCTCCGGATTGGCTCGCGGGCAGCGCCCCCTGGAGGCGCTGCGCTCCGATTGGCGGGATGTTCGCAGCCCGGGGGCTTGGGTACCCGAGAAAGTGAGTGTGTGTGGGATGGGGCGGGGGGCGGGGCCGCCCGGGACTGGACCCGCTGGACAGACGGTCCGCCTGGAGCGGGACTCCGAGCCGGACACGATGCGGCAGCCTGTCCCCCGCAGCCGCCGCCCCCTCCTGCTGGGGCTGCTGCTCTCGCTTCTCGCTGCTGCCTCCGCCGCGGCCTCCACCGCCAGCCCGGGCCCCCGCCACGCCGTCGAGGTTGCGGGGATCCCAGGCCGCCCGGCCGGGTAAGCTCCAATGCGCCCTCCTGCTCCTCCTGCGCCCTCCACCCAATAAGTCTGATGGTCCGGGAGGACGGGAGCATTCCGATCTAAAGAGAATGCAAACCCACTGCCTCGGCATGCAAGCCCTCTGTTTTGCGCGGATTAGAATCTGGAGTAGAATCCCGGGGAGAACTAAGAACTTCAGATTAGGGGTGCCCCTTTGGAATGGTAGAGGCGCAGGGTCGGGGAGTTCCACGCTTAAATGAGGGCGGGCTTTTGAGTTTTTCTGGAATAACTGATGAATGCGATTCTCAAGCCAACATAGGGGCATAGGGTCCCCGCCCCATCCACCCGTTTTTGGGTGCTTAAGCCTTAAAGCGGGACTTAGAGGGTAGTTCAGATGTTCTAATTTCCTGGGATTCGGAGGCTCCTGAATTAATTAGAGGGACCCTTGGAACTTTTTTTAATAAGAAGACGCGGGGAGGAGGGTCTTGCGAGGTGTATGTGTGTGTCTGGTGTGTGTGTGTGTGTGTGTGTGTGTGCGCGCGCGCGCGCGCGCGCGTGTGTGTGTGTGTGTCCCCTGAGATTTCCTGGGGCTTGGGGATGCTCGTTTCCTCCCCGAGGCTGACATAAGGTAGGCACCAGTGATTTCTCGGCAAGAGACCCAAACTCTCTGAACCTGCCCGTCCCAACTGCCCATAAACTGCCAACCGGTCCACAGAAGCGGCACGGGGCGCAAACGCCTGCCTCGCGCCCCGCCCCCCGGCCCCGCGGCCCCGCGGCCCCGCGCTGTCTTACAAAGAGCCGGGGCGCCGCTCCCGCCACGTCCCTGTGAATGCGTTTAGTAACCCGAGCCGCGCCAGGGGCGGAGCCGGGAAGGGGTTAACCTGGAGAAAACGCGGGAGGGTGGCCGGCAAGATCGGTAATGCCGGAGACTTCCAGCCTGATTGCCTCCACCCCCACGGGGAACCCCCCCAGTCTGGAAGGAGCCCACGCGCGGGACGCCCCTTCGCGGCCTGGCCGGAATGCGCTTTTCTCCGGGCCCAGCGCGCGCGCCCTCGTCTCTCGTCCCCCTTAGCTGGAAAGTAATGGAATTGTCTGGGGGGCCCCCCAGGGTTGCCAAGCCTCTAGCGGCGCTAAGAGCTCGGCCACCCGGAATCTGAGATCCTCGGGGCGCATGGAGAGTTCTCCAAGCACCACTGGGACCCGAAGACCAGAAAACGCTAACTCCGGGACACACTTCGTGAAAGGGCAGAAAGGGCTGGAACTCCTGTCGCGGGATTCTCGATCCCGGACTTTGGCTGTGTCTGCAGACCCCCTCCTCCTCCGAACCCTGCCAGAACCACATTCAAAGGACCCTCCGCAGGAGTTGAGGCCTGTGGGAGTGGCGCCACCTGCCGGCCTCGCTCGGGATGACCTCCGAGTCCAGGATCGGGACGGGACGTGTGCGGTGGGCGGGGTTCTAGATACCTCGGGACTCGGAAATGAATTTAGAAATCCAAGACGTCGGTGCTCCGGGATTGCTCCAGGTCTCGAGGATTGCTCCCGGCGGTGCTCGGGAGACCGTGTGGTGCTGGAGGTGGAAAAGAGGCGCCCATAAATCAAGCCCGAGTTCCAGCCCTTTGAGTTATCCCCCCTCAAATTTTAAGGGGGGGGGATGGGGCTGGTGAGATAGTACAGCAGGCAGGGCGTTTGCAGGATCCCGGTTCGATCCTTGGCATCCCATATGGTCTCCTGAGCACCACGGGAGTGATCTCTGAGCGCAGAGCCAAGAGTAAACCCTGATCCCAGAGTAAGCCGGTGCATGCAGCCCACCCTGCATGATCCCTGGCACCATACTCCTAACTCCTTTCAGAAGTGATCACTGAGTGCAGGGCTAGGAGTAAGCCTTGACCACTGCCGGGTGTGCCCACCCCCAAAGGAAAAATAAAAGGTCTCACTTTAAAAGACACATTAAAATACAAAGTCATGGTGACTTGAGCTCCAAAGTGCTCAAGCCAATTCTCTCCCATTGTACAGATGGAGAAGTGGAGTCGTCGGGAATCTTGCCTCTTCTTAGGCGCCCATCTATTTCCAGCACCCTCAAGCTTTATTTATCTTGGCTTTAGATTCCTCCCTCCTCCACTGCCCTCTAGAGAATTCCAGAGTGCGGGGGGCCTCAGTGACTTCCTCTTCTCTATTTATAGTGTCCCTGCTTGTCGCTGCTGCCCAGGCCAATCGCTCAGAAGGAGCCACTGCTTCCGAGGTGGGTTTTTCTAGGTGTGGTACAGTGAAGTGTGAAAGGACATGGGAGGACCGGGGATCAGGGGTTCCCTTCTCCCCAGGAACCCTCCCTTGGAGAACTGGATGCAGCTGGGGGGGTCGGAAGGGGCTCCGTCCCTTGCTTCCCCATTTAGTCCTGGGCTGTCTCCGAAGCCTCCTGCAGGGGCCAGAACTGCACCGCCCCCAAGTGCGCAGGTGCTCGGCCGTGTCTGACCCCGGTGCCCCCAAGCCCCAGCCCCAGCGTGAAGAAGAGACAGGTGTCCCTTAACTGGCAGCCGCTGACGTGAGTGTGTGATGCCTCCTGGGTAGGAGCACCCCACCTTTTGGGAGCCTCCCTGCCCCAACCCTTCTCCCTCCCCCGCCCTATCTCAGGCCCACCTCTGTCTCTGTACCCTGGGTCTCTCCCTCTTCTCTGGCAATCAATCAGCTTGCATCTGTTTCTGCTTCTCCGTTTCCTGCCTACGGCTGCCTGTGTCTCCCCGCCGCTGCCTGTCCTCTGTCTCTGCCTGTCCCTTTCCCTCCCTAGCTGTCCTTTGCCTCTGGCTCCAATGCTCTCACCCCTGTCTTCCTCGGTCTCTGCCTCTGTGTGTCTCTCTTCGCTCCCCCCACCCCCTCTCTCCTGCCTCTTTGTCTCTGCCTGACCCCATGCTGCTGGAAGAACACTCATACCAGGTCCTAGCAAAGGGATGGAGGGCTGGGGAGAGGCGGGCAGAGGCGCTATCAAGAGCCCTCCTGGGGGGAGGCTGCTTCCAACCACAGGGTGACAGCCCCTTCTGTACCTCGTCTCACCCAGACTACAGGAGGCCCGAGCATTGCTGAAACGGCGGCGGCCCCGCGGGCCAGGGGGCCGATCCCTACTGAGAAGGAGGCCCCCCCAGCGCGCCCCTGTCGGCCAGGCCCCGGGTAAGAACATCCGCCCTTTCTCCGCCAGGGGGGCTGGCAGAGGAGGGGGGGGTTCCGGGCCAGATAAAGCCGTCTGGTTCCCACGGTCCAGTTTCTGCCTAGCTGTCCCCCTCTGTGGCTCAACCCCCACCCCCAACACACACACATACACCCCAGGACGTGGTCCCCTCTAGGGACCCCGGCGTCCGGCAGTGCGAGGTGAGCCCGGGACAGGACCAGATGCCGGCCAGAGGTGCTGACCCGTGGGGGTGGGGCCGGGAAGCCTGGCGTCCGGGCTCCCTGCGGCCAAAGAGGGGGGGCGCTGTGCCGGCCCAGAGCGCGGCCCAGCCAGCCCAGACAACAAAAGCGATTGTGCGGGTTGGCGCCTGCCAGGTCTCTGAGAGCCCAAAAGTGGGGTGGCTGGGAACCAAGGCCTCCCCTGCTTCTCGGGATCCCCCCTCGTTTCCTCCACCTCAGCTCTCTACCCCTGGACTAGCGCCCCCCGCAGTCTCAGCCACCCTCAAGTCCCCCTCCTGTCGTGGCCGTCAGCCCAGATGGGTCCCCTTCCTCCTAAAGTCTTCCACATGTGGGCCCCTGGCCAGATGTGCGGACCCCGCAGACACCCCCACCCCGGTTTTCCTTACCATCCCGACTTCTCCCCCCGTGGAGTGTGTGTGTGTGTGGGGTGTCCTGGCCAGAACTGATAGCATCCTCAGCAGGCCCCCCTTTCCCAGCTTCCCGCCCCACCATCCTGAACCCCACTTCCACCGTGTGCCCAGGTGCACCCACCGCTCTCTCCCCCAGATGTGCCCCGACAGCGCCCCCTTCCCGGGGAAGCCCCTCGCTGGGTGCGCGGAGCCGAGAGTCCGCCCCCCCCCCCCATAACGGCCCCCGCCACGCTCTCCTCCCTCGGGAGCCGGCCGGCCGGAGGGGGCTCGCCCGGCCGCCCCCACCTGTTCCCCTTCCGCCGCGCCCCTGCCGGCCCCATTCACTTGTTGGTGCGAGCCGGGGGCCAAGGGGGGCGCCCTCCCTGCGGCGTCTAGCGCCCAGCCCGCGCGCCTCTGGCCGGGCGCCCAGCCCCACGCGCCCCCGCGCGGCCGCCGGGGAGGGAGTGGTGGGGAGGGGGGGCCCCGAGCGGGGGCGCGGCCGTCCTCCCCCGCGGGCGGGCGGGCGGGCGCGGCCGGGCCCCTCGGGCGGGCTGGGGCGGCGGCGCGGCGGAGCGCGGCGCTGCAGCCATGGCGGGCGGCGCGCGGCGGCTCGGGGTGTCGCTAGTGGTGCTGCTGGCGCTGCTCCGGCCGCAGCCCGCGCTGGGCCGGCCCCGAGAGCGCCTCCGCGTGCGCTTCACCCCGGCCGTGTGCGGCCTGCGCTGCGTCCACGGGCCCAGCGGCCCCCGCTGTACCCCGACCTGCGCGCCCCGCAACGCCACCAGCGTGGACAGCGGCGCGCCCCGCGGGGCGGCCCCGGGGGGATCCGGCTTCCGCGCCTGTGAGTGCGGGGTGGTGGTCCCGAGGGAGGGGCCCCCCGGGCGGGGAGGACCCCCGGGGATGGGGGAGACCGTGCCCCTCGGGCGAGGGCGCCCAGGTTCTGGGTGCCGTGCGCTGGCGCATCCCTGGGGGTGTTCGAGGCCGGGGAGCCTCAACTTTCCTGGCCTTGGGGCTCGGGTTCCGAGGACCCGGAGTTTGCAAGCAACGAGGCTTCTGGGGTGCAAGCCGCGAGGGAGCCGGGGTGCTCCACGTGAGGCGCTCGGGCGTGCTTTCGTCCCTTTGAGTCCGAGGAGGGAAATCCCAGCGTGGGGCGCCTGGGCGCTGTGGGGATAGGGATTCCAATTCTGAAGTCGATGAGGGGGGTCCCTGCGCTTGAAGGGAGCATTTCCGTCATGGGAGGGGGTCCCCGGTTTTGTGCCATTGGGGGGGAGGCATTAGGAAATCTCGCCCTGGCGCGGGGTGGCGTGCCTGTGAGGAGGGGGGTCGGGGTGCGGAGTGATGGGAGGGCTGAGAGGAGGGTCTCCGCGGGACCCTGACTTCCAAGGGTCCCACGTGGGAGAGAAATGCAGCTCGGCTGCCTATGGGAAGAAGCGCCCCCTAGGGGCAGACGGTGGGCGGAGGGTGCACACCAGGCACCCCGGGAGCCGGGGCACCCCCAGGGGACTTCAGGTGTGTGTGTGGGGGGGGGGGAGGTGCAGAGTGATCCACCTGTTGGCTCCAGAGGGCAAGGGTGAGCAGGCTTGTGGCATCTGGCCTATGTGCCCCCAAGACCAGCAACCTCTGGATGGGGAATGGGGGGCCCCTGGCGCCGAGAACTCGCCCAGCCTGGCCCCGAGCCAGCCCAGTCCCGGCCGGCGTGAGCTCATCTCCCGCCGGAGCCCCGCCCGTGGCCACTCCCTCTCTCCTCCCCTTCCTCCCTCCTTTCTTCACTCCCTGTCGGCCCAGCCCCAACTCGCCCGTGCCAGGCGCCGTGCCCAGACGGGTGCCAAGCTCCTGGAGGCAATAAGGAGGGGCATGTGGCGGCGGGGGTGGGGTGGGGGGCTGACCTCGGCAGGACCCCAATGTCCTCAGCTCCTCATTCCTCCGGGATGGTGGAACATGAAATTGGCGGCGCCCATGTAGCTGCCCTCCCCTTATGGAAGTCCTGGCGGAGCTGGTCAGGGGGGCCTGTCTCCAGGCGGGGAGAAGGCAAGTGCCCGCAGCTCTGGCACATGATAGCCATCCCCTGCAGATCCTTTTCTTTGCTTTGGGGCCACACCTGGCATTGCTCAGGGCTTACTCCTGGCTCTGTGCTTGGGGATCACTCCTGGCAATGCTTTGAGGACCATATGTGGAGCTGGAGACGGAGCACGGTTGGCCACGTGCAAAGCAGGCGCCTATCTGCTGTCTTCTCCGCCCGGCTTCCTTTTTCTTTTATAATTTGGCTACACCCCAGGTGTTCAGGGCTACTCCCGTTCCTTAGGGGTCTCTCCTGGCAGTGCTGGGGTCCTTCTGCATGGGAGCACTCCAGCCCAATCAATTAACTCCCAGGCCCACATTTTGAAATGTTGGTTCCTAGTTAATTCTCTCCCAGACCTGCCACTCCATTAAGGACGCCCCATTAGAACATCCCAGAGTCCTGGCCTGACTCCCTCCCCCTTCCCTCCCCTCCAATCCCCCCAGTAGCCCAGAGTTTCTGTCTCCAGACCCAGAGCCCCCTCTTCCACCCAGTTAGCCGCTCCTGTGATGGTTTCCTCCACTTTTTGGATGGAAACCCCTAACCTGTGCACCTCACAGGAGAACTCTGTAATCATGTCCCTCGGCTAATCCCTCCCTGTCCTGAAGCTACCCCGACCACAAACCCCAGGCAGTGATAACTCTGTTCCCTGGCACACTTCTCTTCCCAGAAGACTCCCATTTTTTCTTTTTTTTCTTTTGTTTTTTGGCTCACACCGGCGGTGCTCGTGACTTACTCCTGGCTCTGTGCTCAGGGATCACTCCTGGTGGGACTCGGGTGACCATATGCGGTGCTGGGAATCGAACCAGGGTTAGCCGCTTGCAAGGCAAGTGCCCTACCCACTGTACTGTCTTTCACACCCCTCCCTCCTGTTAATATTTCCAGCTGAGTCCCTTCAATTCTCTCCATTCCTGTTCTTCCAGCCCCCCCCCCCATCTCCATCTCTCTTTAGAGAACCTCAGAGTTGGTTAAGTTGTGATTAGATGATTCTCCCAAGAGGTCTCATACATCCAGGCATCCATTCGTCAAAAAGACTTGGGCACCTAAGCTCTTAACTGGGGGTACCAGGTAATTTCTCAGTGTTTTGTAGTTTTTTCTAACAAATGAGACTGTTTTGTACTAGAAACTCCAGCAATCTCCCTTCTCTTTCTAAACCCTATTTTCTGCAGCTTCAAAAGGGCCACCCCCTAGTAGAGTACCATTTTCTAGGTAACTCTCTCCTCAAAGGACATGTCTGCTCCAGCTTCTGCTGAGTTAGGCTGCCTTTCCATTAGGAAACCTTAGGAGTACCAGTCTCTACTCTTCTAAACCGAGGGGTGGGGGAGTCCCTCTATTCTTTCCTCTCTCCAGTTGTAGCTCAAAAATCCCCCAAATGTCCTGCTTGGACTGCCGAAGACTGGATGCCTGCCCCCTTCCTCCACTAAGCACAGCTGTCCCCAGCTGTTCTCCGCAGCCCTGGGGAGACGGGCGGGGGTGTGTGGGGGTGCCCTCGCAGGACACGTCCGTCCTCCTTTGGCTCCGTGGACCCGGGGCTCCCCACGGGTCCGGAATGCCGAGACACCGCCCTACCCCCGCCGCACCCCTCTCTTTGTTTACCCCGCCGCACAGCTGGCAGTGCCCCGCCCAGAAGTGGCGGGGGGCTCAGCGAGGGCGCGCAGAGGGGGAGAGGGAGGCGCGTTCCCGCTGGTGGCCCCGCCTCGGAGGAGGGAAGGCAAGAGTTAGACCTCGCTGGCGGGATGGAGGTGGGCGGAGACCAAACGCGGTGGGCGGGGCCGGGGCCTCCTCATAGGCGGAAGGCGGGGTGGGAGGAGCGCAAACGAGTCCGCCAGGGCAAATCAGCGTGAGAAAAGAAAGTTGGGCGGGCTCAAAGCCCCAGGTTAGAGGCCGGGAAAAGAAATTGAGAATCGTTCCAGTAGGAGTGGGCGGGGCGTTTAAGCGGGGGGGCGGGGACACGAGTGGCTTGTGGGCGGGGCTTGAGCCTCGTGGCTGGGCCTGCTCTGGTTGGGGCGTTTCTAGAATGGTAAGGAAAGGGGCTGGGAGACGCGGGGAGTGGTGCCAGGCTGTGACTTAAAAGTGGATTAAGACAATAGAATACGCTAGCGCTTAGCGTCTGCCTGGCTGGAACAGCCAAAGACCCAGCCAGACGCGGAAATGGGCGGAGCTAAATGCCCACGAAGGAGCTCGCGTGCGACCATCCAATGGACGGAACCGGGTGCCCAGGATTGCTGGGGAAGATGGCTAGGCACGCCTTGCTTACGGGACCCCTGGGACCCCCAGAAGTATGGGACTTGACCTCCCCCAAATACCACGCCGGGTGTGGTCCTCCTCCTCATCCTCCAAACACAGTAATAATTCTAGGAAGATCTACTAAGAATCGGTACCTTTGAGGATTTCGATATTACGTTAGGGACTGGACTAGATCTGGTTGCTTCTTCAGAGGTGCCCACCAAGAGGGTTACCCTGAGTGTCCTTGCTCTCACCCCAGTCCTGTGTCCCTTGATCTGTCACAACGGCGGTGTGTGCTTGAGGACGGACCGCTGCCTCTGTCCCCCGGACTTCGCTGGCAAGTTCTGCCAGTTGCATTCTTCGGGTGCCCGGCCCCCCGCCCCGTCCACGCCAGGTCACACCCGCTCAGTGTACACCATGCCTCTGGCCAACCACCGCGACGACGAGCACGGTGAGAAGAATGGAAAGTGCCCTGGACCCTCTGCCCCCGACCTTACCTTCCCGTCCCTCTGCTCCCCATCTTTCCTACCTGCCTCCCCCCCACTCCCGGTCCCCGACTGCAAGAACTCCTTTGCGCGCCGTGCCCCCCTCCCCAGGCGTGGCGTCCATGGTGAGCGTGCACGTGGAGCACCCACAGGAGGCGTCCGTGGTGGTGCACCAGGTGGAGCGAGTGTCTGGGACGTGGGACGAGGCGAAGGCCGAGGCGGCGGCGCGCGCCGAAGCGGCGGCGCCCTACACGGTGCTGGCGCAGAGCGCGCCGCGCGAGGACGGCTACTCGGACGCGTCGGGCTTCGGCTACTGCTTCCGGGAGCTGCGCGGCGGCGACGTGAGCGGCGGGCCCGGGGTGGGGGGGGGGGGGGGGGCGGCGAGGCCCCGAGCCCGCGGCCGCGCGGGGGCGCGCTCACCCCACGCTTCCCCCCTGCAGTGCGCGTCCCCGCTGCCGGGGCTCCGGACTCAGGACGTTTGCTGCCGAGGGGGCGGCTTGGCCTGGGGCGTCCACGACTGTCAGCCGTGCTCCGAGTACTTGGGTAAGCTTCGGGGTGCGCAGAGCGGGGGATGGGGAGCACCTCCCCGGGTACCGGCCGCTCAGCATCGCCAACTCCATCGTGCGGAGATCATTTCCAGTCTCCACCGAGCCGCTCTTTCGGTTCAGGGAACACCCCCACTTTGGCGCTTTTTTTTGTTTCTGGAATCTCCTTCTCGGTCTTCTATCCTGATCTTGCATTCAAACCTACCCTTTTACCTTTTAGTCCCTCCCACCGCTGCATCTCCTCCCCTCCCCTCCCCCGCCTCCTTTCTCCTCTCCTCCCTTCCCCTATCCTCCCCTCCCCTTTCCTCTTCTCCTTTCTCTTGTTTTTGGACCACTTTCAGCGATGCTCAGGGCTTGCTCCTGGCTCTGCGTTCAGCAAGCTGCTCAGGGGACCCATATGGGGTGCCAGGGATGGAGTCCGCCACGTACAAGACAGGCGTCCTATCTGTACTATTCCTTTGGCCTCTCCATATTCCACTACCCATTCTCTTTGCTCCACAGGGAACACTGACAGAGGAGTGGATGGACCTTGTCCAACCGGCTTTGAAAGGGTTAATGGGTCCTGCCAAGGTGAGCTGGGCAGAGGGTGGCTTTAGGACTGGGGTTGACCGGACCCCTCTGACTACCCATTGCTCTCTTACAGATGTGGATGAGTGTGCCACAGGTGGGCGATGCCAACACGGAGAGTGTGCGAACACACGTGGTGGCTACACATGCGTGTGCCCCGATGGGTTCCTGCTTGACTCCTCCCGGAGCAGCTGCATCTGTGAGCACCCCCAGGAGGGGGGGCATTGAGGCTGTGACCCTGCTACCCTGCCCTCAGACCCCATAGGAGCATCCCCAGGTTTTTAATTCCCTTAGACACCCTCTCAATATTCATTCAGCTGCCCTCCCTTCCTGCCATTCCTGTCATACCCTTTCCTGTCATACCATTTCCTGGATATTTCTCAGCCCTTCTAAGAGTCCCTTGATACCTTTTAGAACTTAAAAAAAAAAAAAGCATCCAGTAGTGCTGTTAGCACTTAGCACTGTCCTCCCGTTTTTCATCGATTTGCTCGAGCGGGCCCAGTAACATCTCCATCGTGAGACTTGCTGTTACTGTGTTTGGCATATTGAATACGTCACGGGGAGCTTGCCAGGCTCTGCCGTGCTGGTGAGATACTCTCAGTAGCTTGCTGGGCTCTCCAAGAGAGGTGGAGGAATCGAACCTGGCTCGACCGGGCTGACTGCGTGCACGCAAACGCCCTACTGCTGTGCTATCGCTCCAGGGGTTACTTTCTGGTTCTGCACTCAGGAATCATTTCTGGTGGTGCCCAAGGGACCATATGGGGGTGCCAGGGATCAAACCCATGTGGGCTGCATGCAAGGCAATCACCCTACCCACTGTACTATCTCTCTGGCAAAACCAATTTCTTTCAGAGCCCCACATTCTGTTTTTACGGGAGACACAGGTGGAAGTGCTCAGGGTCTACTCTTGGCATGATGCTCAGGGAATCATACAGGGGATCGAATCTTGGTTCTTGTTTGTTTGTTTGGTTTTTTGAAGTAGCCACATCTGGTGATTCTCAGGGCTTACTCCTCGATCTGCACTCAGGGTCCACTCCTGATGGTTTGGGAGACCACATGAGATGCTGGGGATTAAACTGGGTCTGCCACATGAAAGGCAAGTCCCCAGTGGACTATCACTTCCAATCCTTGAGCACTGAATCTTGGGCTTCTTATGCTCAAGCCTTTTGAGCCATTTTCCCAGCTCTTTGATCCTCACACTTTTTTTCTTCATTTTTTGTAGAGGTTACTCCTGGCTTGGTGCTCAGGGATTACTCTGTGGTGCTCAGGGGCCCGTGCTGTGCTGGGGATTGAATCTGGACCACCTGCATGTGAAGCATGGCCTAGCCCATCCCCCTACCCCCAGATTCTCACACTTGTCTTCAACTTCTCTAGGAGTCCCAAATACCCCCTCACGTTCTGTCAGACCGGAGATCCTTTTCAGAATCTTCCATTGACGACCCCCACCCCCGCTATCCTTCTCAGACCTCTAGACCCCCTCTGAACTCTTCCGAATGCCCCCTACACCCACCCGCCCTCCCAGGGACCGTTCCTCTGTTCTCAACTCTACCCTGAAGCACTTCATCCCCCTCCGCAGCTCAACATGTGATCTCAGAGGCCAAGGGGCCTTGCTTCCGAGTGCTCCGCGACGGTGGCTGCTCGCTGCCCATTCTGCGGAACATCACCAAACAGATCTGCTGCTGCAGTCGCGTGGGCAAAGCCTGGGGCCGCGGCTGCCAGCTCTGTCCACCCTACGGCTCAGGTGGGCGCCCCCTGCTGGCCGAACTCTGGATCTGGCGTCCTCCTAGGTGCTCAGCCTGCAAACCAGCTTGGGGGCGGGGCTATCCTTGGCCACACCCCCATTTCCGACACCACCCCCACCCTGCCGCTGTCCATAGGCCGGACTGCGCCCAGCACCCCACTCCATCCTTGACTACACTCACTGCTGAGGTGCACCACCTCGAAGTTAGATTGAAACTGCACCTTCAGCCTTGTGGGCCCCTGAACCCCATACTAGTCACTTTCTTCCCTGAAACACCTCCCTGTCAATTTTTTTTCCTTTTTGACCCACACCATGTGATGCTCACGGGTTACTCCTGGCTCTGCACTCAGGAATTACTCCTGGCGGTGCTCGGGGACCATATGGGGTGCCAGGGATCAAACCCATGTCAGCTGCGTGCAAGGCAAATGTCTTACCTGCTGTACTATCACTCCAGCCCCCCTCCCTGGAAGTTTTGCTTCTGCTGAGAACCAAACCCAACTACCTGCTTCCTGGCTGTTGCTCCAATCGCTGTCTACCCCAGACCAGACCCTGTCCCTGTCCCTGTCCCTGTCCCTGTCCCCGTGTCTATTCCTACTAGGAAGGACATCTTGAGACAGCACACTATTTGGTCAAGTTATCACCCCAGTCCAACATCCACGCAAACCCCTGATTCACTCCCAGGCCAAGCTGTGTTCTGTTCCCAGCCACCGCCAGATCCTAGACTACTCTGTGTCTGCTCTTGCTCATGTGCTCACTTGCTCCCTCACACACACCTGCCCTCTCTATGCCCCTTGCCTTTCCTCTTCTGTTCTCAGAGGGCTTTCGGGAGATCTGTCCTGCCGGCCCAGGCTACCACTATTCCGCCTCTGATCTCCGTTACAACACTCGGCCTCTGAGTCAGGACCCACCCCGCGTGTCTGTCAGCCAGACCAGGCCCTTGCCTGCCACCACCAGGCCACCCACAGGTAAGCTGGCTTCTGGGGGAGGGGCAGTCATTTCCAAAGGAAAAATTATCCCCACAGTTTCCTAGGGAAAAGAGCAGAGACGAGCGAGCATGCTGGTGTCCAGGCCTGCACTGTCCAGTCTTCATTAGACTTTCTCCCCACCCAGAGTCCAGAACTGAACGTCGCCCACAGTCCCGGCCTGAGCATCGACTGGATTCCCGACCTGAACGTCGGCCGGATTCCCAGCCTGAGTATCGACCTGATCCCCGGCCTGAACGTCGGCCGGATTCCCAGCCTGAGTATCGACCTGATCCCCGGCCTGAATATCGGCCTGATTCCCGTCCTGAACGTCGGCAAGATCCCCGTCCTGAACGTCGGCCCGATTCCCGTCCTGAACGTCTGCCTGATTCCCGGCCTGAGCATCGACCCGATCCCCGGCCGGAACATCGGCCTGACCCCCGACCCGAGCGCCGGCCAGAGCCCAGACCCGGCCCTGAGCTTCCTGTTCCCAGCATCCCAGCCTGGACTGGCCCTGAGACCCCCGAAACAGGTGCAGTGGAAGGAAATAAGGACTTTGGTCAACTGAAAGGGAACTTACAGGGAGACTTGAGGGATAGCTCCAAGGTGACTTTTTGTGTTTTGTTTTGGGGTCATACCCAGCGATGCCCAGGGCTTACTCCTGGGTTTGTGCCCAGGAAATATTCCTGGTAGAGCTTGGGGGACCATATGGGATGTCAGGGATCAAACTCTGTTGGGAACATGCAAAGCAAGTGCCTTCCCCTCTTTACTATCCCTCTGGCCCCCAAGGTGATGATTTTAGGATGGAATGCATCCAGTCAGAGGAATCAAGAAATGGATGGAAGAAGATAAGATTTGGGGTTGAAGGGTGGTCACATCAAGAACTAAAGTCGAACAGGCCTGGGGTCCAGTTCTCTGTCAATTGGGCAAGTGCTGTACATTTAGGAGGGAGTACAAGGTGACACCCAATGATACCTGGGATATTATGCCATGATGGGGATCAGACCTGGGATTTCTGCTTGCTAAGCATGCAACTCAACCCTTTGAGACTTCTTCCCAGCCTATTTATCTTCTCTGGGATTCAGTCTCCCATCTGTAAAATGGGATCATTGTGAGCATCTCTGAAGAGCCGAGCACTACTAAATGCTCAGTGTTTGATAAATTACTTTTTTTCATGGAGGGCACAAGGAACTTATTTCAGGCCAAGGACTGCAGAGCCAGGTCTTCCACAGCCAAGGCGTCATTGGGGGATTCTGACAGTGATCAGAGAGAACATCCCTGATAAAGGAGAGAAGTTTTGAGATGGAAAGTTTGGGGAGGGATATCCATGAGGCCGGTTAGGCAGAGAATTCAGATTTGGGAGCCCTAGTTGACTTCATGTCCCTCCACAGGTGCCTGTCAGCGAAATCCTCAGGTCTGTGGTGCAGGACGCTGCATCCCCCGACCCAGCGGCTACACCTGCGCTTGTGACCCCGGATACAGACTCAGCCCTCAGGGCACACGCTGCATCGGTGAGTTGGGAAGTGGGGTAGACAGAGGCAGGACCGGGCTCTGCCGGGTCACCTGCTGACCAGTCCCCCCTGTTCCTCCAGACGTGGACGAATGTCGCCGGGTACCCACACCTTGTACTCCTGGGCGCTGCGAAAACACGCCTGGCAGCTTCCGTTGCGTGTGTGGCCGGGGCTACCGAGCTGGCCCACGAGCTACGGAGTGCCTGGGTGAGAAATACGCCCTTCCTGGCCAGGTCCTACCCCTGCCTTTCTATTGTTTGTACTGGCTGGCCTTCCTGTCCGGGCTGGTCCTGAGCCAGCTGTCAGGCACTTTTTCCCTGACCAGGTCCGAACTCCGCCCCTCGCTGGCCTCTCCAAAACCCACACTAGTTTCTGCTGTCACCCAGACCCACCCTCTATAGCCCAGACTAAATCCACCCCCTCCAATCCCAGGCCAGCTCCCGCCCCTGAGGCCCCGCCCCTCCAGTCCCAGGCCAGCTCCCGCCCCTGAGGCCCCGCCCCTCCCAATCCCAGGCTAGTTTCTGCCCCTGAGGCCCCGCCCCTCCCAATCTCAGGCCAGCTCCCACCCCTCCAAAAGTCTGTCTAGTTATTGCCCTTCCCAGGCCCCGCCCCTCTACGGTCTAGACTAACTCCCACCTCAAGGCTCCGCCCCTCCCAATCACTGATCTGCTCCTGACCTTCCCAGGCTCCGCCCCTCCATAGTCAAGACCTAGGCCAGAGCGACAATACTTCAGGTAGGGTGCTTGCCTAGCACACGGCTGATGCGGCTTCGATCCCAGATACCCATATGGTCTGAGCACCACCTGGAGTAATTTCTGAGCACAGAGCCAGGAATCAGTCCTGACCATCGCTGGGCGTGACTCACCCCCTCTCCCTGGACACACACGAAAACAGATAGTCAAGACAAGCTCAGGCCTTTGCCAGGATCCATCCACCTGTCTGTCTCAATCCTGACCAGGTCGGGACTCCGCCGCTCATCACCTCCTAACTCTTTCTGATGGTTACCTTGCCAAACCAGTGCCCCATCCCATCCCTAAATCAGCTCTTCTCTGTTCCTGCTTCCCCTTTGCTTGGTGAGCCCTGCTCAGGTTCTGCCCTCCCCACTACCACTCATAGTTCTTCTCTTTCCCTAACCCTCATCCTGCCCTCCCTGCTCAAGACCCTCAAGCCTTTGTTCCGCTACACATTGCAACCCAGCCAGCCCCTCTCCCCTGCCCAGGTGGCCTGGCCCTCTGCCCCTCCCTGCCCACCCCTTGAAGGTCTGAGGTGTGAGAGTTGCCTGAACCCATCTCAGTCACCTTTTTTTTTTTGGTTGTTTATCTGCAGATGTGAATGAGTGTCACCGCGTGCCACCACCCTGTGACCGCGGACGCTGTGAGAACACACCAGGCAGCTTCCTGTGTGTGTGCCCAGCCGGGTATCAGGCCGAGACCCATGGAGCCAGCTGCCAGGGTGAGGGGCTGTGAGAGGAAGGGATGGAGAAGCAGAGCACTGAGGCAGAGGGAGGCTGGCTGCTGGGAGACAGAGGCCAGGTTCTGATGATGAGGCCAAGTGGTGGGACACAGAGGTGTGGGGAGGAGTTGTCAGGGTCTGCGGTGGAAGGGGGGAGGGTGATGGAAGTGGCAGTTGAAGCAGGCAGAGACTGGAAAGGGAGCATCTAGCAGGCTGAGAGCGGGGTGGAGGGCTCAAGTTGGAGGACACCGGGGTCTGGGTGCGGGAAGGTGGAGACAGGAAGGCAGCATGATCCGGTTAGTGGAGCAGTGTGGAGGCTGCGGTGCAGAGACGAGCCTGGCCTCTTGCCCTGTGCAGATGTGGACGAGTGCATCCAGAGCCCGGGCCTGTGTGGCCGCGGGGTGTGTGAGAACCTGCCTGGCAATTTCCGCTGTGTGTGCCCAGCTGGCTTCCGCGGCTCCTCCTGTGAGGAGGATGTGGATGAGTGTGCCCAGGTGCCACCGCCCTGCGGGCCGGGACGCTGTGACAATACCATGGGCTCCTATCACTGTGCATGCCCCTCTGGCTTCCGCTCCCGAGGGCCCGGTGCCCCCTGCCAAGGTGAGGATGCTGAGCCCATGTTCTTCCAGCCCCAGTAACTGTGGGGACTGGAGAGAGCAGTGATGGGGGAGTGTTCAGGGGGACGGGGGTTAGGGGATGGGGCTCTGAAGGGAGGACAAGACTAGAAACCTTACTCAAGACTTCTCTCCCTGTGAGAGGGGGCTCTCCGTTCCTCCTCCCTTTTGGATGATACTCTTGGGATTGGGGGATCCTGCAGAGAGGGAAACTCTGGGACAGGACAGGCAATGGATAGAAGGTGCCTGGCAGCTAGAGAGACCATTATTGGGGGACACCGTGAGGGAGTCTGCTTTCCCAGGAGCAGGGAACATCCTGGGCCAAGACTGGGATCGGGGGCCGGAACAATAGCACAGTGGGTAGGGCGTTTGCTTTGCACACAGCCGACCTGGGTTCGATCCCAATCCCCGGCATCCCATATGGTCCCCCGAGCACCGCCAGGAGTAATTCCTGAGTGCCTGAGCTGGGAGTAACCCATGAGCATCGCCGGGTGTGACCCTCCCCCCCCCCAAAAAAAGAAAAAAACAAAACTGGGATCAGGGTGAGTGGGAATGACAGCAAGGGTGTACCTGGGCCTCTACTTTAGCCCATTTTCCCCCCAGATGTGGATGAGTGTGCCCGAAGCCCCCAGCCATGTAACTATGGCCGATGCGAGAACACAGAGGGCAGCTTCCGGTGTGTCTGTCCCACCGGTTTCCAACCGAATGCAGCCGGCTCTGCGTGCGAGGGTGAGGCAGGGAGGGAAGGAAGGAGGGCTGTGGACAGGGTGGGGAGGGAGATTGGAGGCGCTCCTTCAAGGCCCACTATCTCCTGACCCCCAGATGTGGATGAGTGTGAGAACCACTTGGCATGTCCGGGACAGGAGTGTGTCAACTCGCCTGGCTCGTTCCAGTGTAGGGCCTGTCCTGTCGGTCACCACCTGCTCCAAGGCCGCTGCACCGGTGAGGCCTTGGGTGTGCTGAGGGTCTTCATCCTAACCTTGGACCTGGCCCATAACCCTGACTTCCTGGTTTGGGTCTCAGTCATATTGGGACGTGACCTTCCCCACCCCTATCAGCCAGACTTGGATGTGGGCCCTTGACTTTTGATAGTCTGGACCAAGACCCTTCACTCTCTATGGTACTGGAAATCCTCAGCTCAATTGTGACATTTGATTGCAGCTGATACTACCCTGGACCATAACCTATAGAAATTCTGACCCTCCTGACCCCCCAGTGGGCCTCTCTGATCCTGAGTGTCACCTGTGACCCTTGAGCTTGATGATGACTTTTGTTTTGTTTTCGGGCCACACCTTATGATGCTTAGGGCTTACTCCTGGCCCTGCACTCAGGGATCACTCCAGGCGGGCTCTGGGGATGATAATGGAGTGCCTGGGATTGAATTTGAGTAGTCTGAGTACAAGGCAAATGAACTCCCTCCCCACTGTGCTGTTTCTCCAGCCCCTTGACTATGACTTTTGTTCTATTCATAACCCTGATCACAACTCCTGAATCTATGTGACACTTGATCCTGTGCATTTCACTGGTCCTGACCCTCCTCAGGGACTATTCCCTAGGGGTTCATGATTCTGAGCGTCTCCTAACTGAAGGTACAAATCTGGGGCTGGACTGCAACCCAGACCCTGAGTGGTCTGGGTCTTGCACAAACCCCAGTATCCAGGTACAGGGAGTCTGGGGAAACCCAGGAACCCAGACAGGGAACGTTGGCCCCCTCAATCCACTTCTGCCGTAGAACTTTTACCTAATATCCACCACCTGCTCCCCAACCCTCTGCCCCAGAAGAAAATGTTAGGTATGCCCCTTAGACTGGACCCCTTCTGACACCCGGATTCCCACAGATGTGGATGAATGTAGTTCGGGCGCCTCCTGCGGTCCCCATGGCCACTGCACCAACACTGAAGGCTCTTTCCGCTGCACCTGTGCCCCGGGCTACCGGGCTCCATCAGGCCAGCCTGGGCCCTGTGCAGGTGGGCAGGGCAGGGAGAGAGCCAGAGAGCCGGGGGAGGGGGGGGGGTGTCAGGGAATTTGGCGGGTTGCGGTGGCGTTTCTAGATTAAAATGGCAGCAGAACTGGAAACTGGACTGTCGTTGTGCATGGGTAGAGAAACTGCCCGCGGTGCGGGTGGCCCTAACCTCCGCCCCCTCCCCCCGGGAAATGTGGGTCCATAACCCCGTCTCTCGCCGTTTCTAGACGTGAATGAGTGCCTGGAGGGAGACTTTTGCTTCCCGCACGGCGAGTGCCTCAACACTGACGGTTCCTTTGCCTGCACCTGTGCTCCCGGATACCGGCCCGGACCCCGCGGAGCCTCTTGCCTTGGTCTGTACCCAGGCTGGGCCTGGGCGAGAGAAAGTTTGTTGGGGGTTGGGAGGATAGAGGGTGGGGGATGTTATGCCGCGGTAAAAGGCGTGACAGAGAGACTTCAATGGTAGTTTGAATTTTTGGCCTCATTGTTGAACCTCGGAAGGGGCGGGCAAAGGGGCGGAGTTTAGGTATCCGAGCGCTGATTGGATGGGCTGGGTTCCTGCAAGCCGGCGGGGGTGGGGCTTTCAGGGTGGGCGGAGCTTTTGTGGGTGTGGGCGGGGCATGGGGCCTCCACCGGGAGAGGGAGGCGGGGCCTGGTCCGATTATAAACCCGGTCGGGTTGTGCCTGGGTTTCCAATGATGGGTTTCCACGCCTTGCAGACGTGGACGAGTGTAGTGAGGAAGATCTTTGCCAGAGCGGCATCTGCACCAACACCGACGGTTCTTTCGAGTGCGTCTGTCCCCCTGGACATCGCGCCAGCCCTGACCAAGCCTCCTGCCAGGGTGAGAGGTCCCGCGGGACCTTATCCATGTCCCCTGCCCAGCTTGGCCACCCAAGCAACTTGCCTCCTCTTTTCTACTCTCTACGACTCCCTACACCTCCCCCCTCCCCCCTCCCCCCCCCCCCCCCCGCGCCCTCTTCCTCTGCCTTCTTCCTTTTGCTCTCTCCTCAGTGCCCTCCACTTTTCTCCTCTAACTTCCCTCCTTGACTTCCAGTACCTTTTTTCCTTCCCCTCCCTGTCTCACTTGCCTGTCTTGTCTGACGGCCCGCCTTCCCCATCAGACGTGGACGAATGTCGCGAGCAGGGTCCAGCCCTGTGCGGGTCGCAGCGCTGTGAGAATTCTCCCGGCTCCTACCGTTGTGTCCGTGACTGTGATCCCGGTTACCACGCGGGCCCCGAGGGCACCTGTGATGGTGAGCCAGCCCCTACCCCTGTGGTGGCTGAATTTAGGTCACCTCTGGCTTCCGGAAGAGTGTTTTGGGGGGACCATATGGGATACCGGAAATCAAACCTTGCAAAGCAAATGCCCTCCCCTCTGCACTCTATCTCCAGCCCATTATGCTGTTTAAGAAGCAAAATACAGCAGGATGGAGGAGCAGAGTTGTCAGGCAGTGGGGGAAGGGATCAGGAGGGCTTGGCCCAGACACCAGAGTGGAGGGAGGAGACTGCTGCTCACTGGGGACAGAATTCCAGCAGAGGTGTTGGTGTGAGGGCTCGGTCAGACAGGCTAGAAGCTGCAGAGGTATTAACTCTCACCGATCGTTATAAAGTCAGGGGTCGGACAGATGGCAAAGCAGGTCAGGTGCTTGCCTTGTAGGCACTTGACCCAGGTTCTGCCCCCCAAGCCCTGCCAGGAGTGATCCGTGAGCACAGAGCCAGGAATACCCTGAATACCATCAGGGGTGACACTTCCCTTAAAAAATAAAAAGAATTTCAGGAGCCAGAGAGATTTTTAGGGTTCTTGCCTTGCATGCAGCTGGATTCAGCCTGCAACACCATCTATAGGTATGCTGTGTGTCCCACCAGGAGTGATCCCTGAGCATAGAGCCAGTAGTAAGCCCTGAGTATTGCTGGCGTGTTCCCAAGAGCCCCTTGGAATATCCTGGAACCCACAGGGGAGGCACAGGGTCCCAATTGAGAAACACTATGCTGGAACCCCGGACAGATTCATGGACTCAGAGTGTGAATCTAGGCGTGTCACCCCTCTGCTGCCGCCTCTCCCCTTTCCTGCAGATGTGGATGAGTGCCAAGAATACGGCGCCTCAATTTGTGGGACCCAGCGCTGCGAGAACACCCCTGGCTCCTACCGCTGTGTGCCAGCTTGTGAGCCTGGCTATCAGCCCACGCCCGGTGGAGGATGCCAGGGTATGTGTCCTTGGGGCCCCGGGTGGGAGCCTGAGGGGGTGGAGATCCGCTGTGGCCTGACTGCCTTGTGGTTGCAGATGTGGATGAATGCCGGAACCGATCCTTCTGCGGGGCCCATGCTGTGTGCCAGAACCTGCCCGGCTCCTTTCAGTGCCTCTGTGACCAGGGCTACGAGGGGGCGAGGGACGGGCGTCACTGCGTGGGTACGGGGCACGGGGGGTGGGGTGGGATGGGAGAGACAATTATGGAGTTTCAATCCTCAGCAGCTCGTCTCCATGGCAGTTAGAATTATTCTGCTACAAGTGATAGTAACTCTCTTTCTCCAGGCTTTGTATGTGCATGGAGGCGGGTATTCGAGTTGGGGGGAGACTTAATGCTTTTTTTGAGGGGGAGGGCACACATGGTGGTGCTCAGGGCTTACTCCTGGTGGGGCTCAGGGGACCATACAGGATGCCGGGAATTGAACCCAGGTCAGGGCTGGAGCCATAGTACTCCATGTACTTGTGTAAGGCACTTGCCTTGCACGTTCCTGACCAAGGTTTGAGCCCCAGCATTCCTTAGGGTCCCCTGAATAAATCTACCAGGAGTTATTCCTGGATGCAGAGCCAAAACAGGCTTTATTTTCCTCCCAGAAAATTTTTCTAAGATTACAGCCTATTGGTCTTGTAGGATAGGACTGGGGTGTAGCTGAGTAAGTCAGCACATGATTTGATTTTTTGCCTGTTGTGGCCCCAAAACAAACCAAGACAAACAAACAAAAAATGAACCTAGGTCAGACACATACAAAGCAAGTGCCCTGATGTACTATCTCACTGACCCCAAATTGTACATTTTTTTCTTTTGAGGTCACACCTGGTGATGCTTAGGAGTTACTCCTGGTTCTGCACTCAGGAATTACTCCTGATGGTGCTTGGGGGAACATATGGAATGCTGGGGATTGAACCCACATTGGCTGCGTGCAAGGCAAACACCCTATCTGTTGTACTATTGCTCTGGCCCCAGTAATACATTTTTTCTTTTTCTTTTTTTTTAATTAAATCACCACAAGATACAGTAACAAAGATTTCATGATTGAGTTTCAGTCTAACACCCATCCCTCCACCAGTGTACATTCCCCACCACCAATATCCCCTGTATCCCTCCTGCTACACTCTACCCCCAGCCTGCCTCTATGGCAGGCACTTTTCTTCTCTCTCTCTCTCTGTCTCTCTGTCTCTCTCTGTCCGTCTCTGTCTCTGTCTTTGTCTCTCTCTCCTCTTCTTTTGGGCATTATTTTGCAATACAGATACAGAGAGGCCGTCATGTTTGGTCCTTTGCCCACTTTTAGCACAAATCTCCCATCCAGAGCAACCCCTTCCAACCATGATTGTCGTAATGATCCCTTCTCTATTCCAACTTCCCTCTCACCCAGCCCTTGAGGCAGGCTTCCAGCTGTGAACCATTCATCCTGAACCTTGTTTCTACTTTCCTTGGGAGTTAGTCTCATACATTTTTAAGTATGTAGCAGCCACTGATTTTGAATGCACAAAACAGGCTTTATTTTCCTCCCAGGAAATTTTTCTAAGATTACAGTCAATTGAGACACTTGTAGGATAGGACTGGGGTGCAGCTGAGTAAATCAGCACATGATTTGATGCTTTGTATAGTTGAGGCCTTGGATTCCACCCCCAGCAGAGTCCTGCCGGAGACGAGGGCTGAGGTGCTTGCTTTGCATGCAGCCAATCCCAATTATGCTGCATGGTCCCTGGAGTACCATTGGGAGTGACTCCCAAGCACAAAGGCAGGAAGAGCCCCTCCCCACCCAGGCATCCCTGGTGTGGACCCCACTAGAAAACAAACCGAAAAATCCCAGCAGAGACTTAGAGGCTAAATATCCACATGCATGCTCATACATAACATGTATTCCCTTAGTACCTACATTGAATCGTTAGACTTGTTTTTCTCACATCCATCCATGAATGTGCCCAGTGTTGGGTACAGATTCAAATTACAGGTCTCAGCTCTTCCTCCTCCGTCCTTCAATGTGTTCATCATTAACCTGAGTTCCATAGATCCTTACAAGACATTTTCCTTTGAGGTTCATCTCATGCCCAGTAAAAAGTTACATTTTCTAGATTTTTTTCTTTGTTTTGGGGTCACCCTGGGCCGGACTCAGGGGTCACTCCTGGTTTGTACTCAGGAATCACTCCTGACAGTGCTCCGGGCACCATTTGAGGTGCTGAGGATCAAACTCGGGTCAGCCACATGCAGGGCAAGTACCTTCCCTGCTGTTTGGTGACTCCGGCCCCACTGTCTGGATTTGTGACAAATACAGACACAGCTGACTTGATGTTGTTAAAAAGCCTTAAATTGTGATGAGTCCTGAAATCTGTTCAAACCTCGAGTACACTTAGAGGAGGTGGAGTTGCAGTATGAACTGCCAGCCCCGGAGACCCCATTGCTTGGCTCTGCATCTCTCCCGTGTATTTGTTTTCACACAGATTTGCTTTTCACAGTGGCCAAAGTTTTTTGGCCAAAGTTATGAGCCCTGAACCCCTGGGCTCACCTCCTCAGCCTGGCAGCTCCAGCCACCAAGTTTGTTCTCTGTATTTCTAGCAAATGCCCCGAGAGACTGGCTTGGTTTTGACCCACTGATCACTAGCCCTCTCCGGAACTGAGAAATGCAGTCAGCATGTGGGCACTGCTAGGACTCACAGATTTGGCCCCACTCAAATCAGTAGGCTCCCAAGGGAAATTCAGGGCTTGTCTGCCAATGATAAGTGAATCATGGGGGCCTAAACCATCAAAAATACATTCTCAGGGCCGGAGCGATAGTACAGCAGGTAGGGTGTTTGCCTTGCATGTGGCCGACCTGGGTTCGATTCCCAGCATCCCATACGGTTCCCTGAGCACTTCCAGGAGTAATTCCTGAGTGCAGAGCCAGAAGTAACAGCATCACCGGGTGTGACCCAAAAAGGCAACAAACATAAAAATACATTCTCATGGGTCAGAAAGATAAGACAGTGGGTAGGCCACTTGCCTTGTATGTGGCAGACTCAGGCTTAATTCATGGCATCCCATCTTGTCCCCTGAGCACCACCAGAAGTGATCCCTGAGCTCAGAGACAAGAGTAACCTCAGAGCACTGCCAGGTGTGGCAAAGCAGAACAAAATAAATACATACGTTTGATTGGAAAGTGCAGGTCTTTGGGCTGCTAGAAGTTTGAGGCCGCTGACATGCTCTCTCCTGAACGCAGATGTGAATGAGTGTGAGACCCTGCAGGGCGTGTGTGGAACTGCCCTGTGTGAGAATGTGGAGGGCTCCTTCCTCTGTGTCTGCCCCACCAGCCCCGAGGAGTTTGATCCCATGACGGGGCGCTGTGTTCCCCCAAGGCGTTCTTCAGGTTCTTCAGGTGAGATGACTTGGCTGTGTTCATTTAACCGCTGGCTGCAGGCCTCCGCCTCTCCCCAGTGATGCAAACAATAGCCATAGTGAAATGCAGTTTATGTGTTTTGTTTTGTTTTGTTTTTGAGGGGGGTAGCATACCGGGTGATGCTCAGGGCTTACTCCTGGCTCTACACTCAGGAATTAAACCTGGTAGTGCTCAGGGGAATCATGTGGGGTGACAGGGATTGAACCTAGACCCTCTGCATGCAAGGCAAACACCCTACCTGCTCTACATCGTTCTGACCCCTATTTTATTTATTACATTTTTGTGTTTGTTTGTTTTTGTGCTACACTCTGTGATCATCAGTGGTTACTCCTGGCTCTGTGCTCAGGATCATTTATGGCACTGCCCGGGGCACCATATGGAATGCTGGGGGTCAAATCTGGGTTGGCCATGTGCAAGGCCAGCACCTTATGCAGTGTATAAACTTTCTGGCTCATGAAATGCTGTCAGTTAAAAAATTTTTTTCTGGAGTTGGAGAGATCGGGTTAGTCAGGGCTTTTGCCTTGTATCCGGTTGACCCAGATCCAATTCTCAGTATCCCATATGGTCCCCTGAGTATTGCCAGGAGTGATTCCTGACTGCAGAGCCAGGAATAAGTCCTGAGCTTAGGTGGATGTGGCCCAAAAACTAAATGAATTTTTGTCTGTTTGTTACATTTTATTTACTTACTTGTTTTTATGTCATACCTGGTAGTGGTCAAGGCTTGCTCGTGGGTCTGTGCCCAGTGGTCATTGCTGATGGTGTTAAGAAAATGCCGTGATTTTTTTTTTTTTCAAAGATAAACACCCTTGGAACACAAGGGCTAGCCTGGTTGGTAGGACTCAGTGTCAGGAGAACTGGACTCTGGCCCTGATTTTACTAGTTTGTTTCATTCAACAAATGCTCACTGGGCACCTACTGTGTATAAGACCTACTCTTGTTGAGGACATAGCAGTGACTAGGAAAAATGTTCTGTCTTTGAGGGGTTCACAGTCTAGTGTGGGGGCAATCACATAGGGCAACCCAGAGAAATTGGGACTGGGAGAGAAGCACAGGCCAGGATTGATGATGCCAGTTCTTGCCTGAGAGGAGGATGGAGGCCTTCCTGTAGGAAGGGGTTTCTGATCTAGGAACAGCAGGATGAGGAAGAGTGAGCCAGTCAAAGTGGGTCAGGGTGGGAATTTGGGGCAGAACACACGGGAGACCCCACACATTTGAGGAACTAAAATAAGTTCAGGGGGTGTGATGGACAGGGCACGCAGTGGGGTGATAAGAGATGAGGTGTGAGAGGCAGGCACACAGGGAGCCTGCTGACTCGGCATGCTCAGGGTGGTCAACCTTTCCCCCAAGCACTTGGGCACCCCAGAAGGGTTTCGGTGGGAGACGATCATCAGATTTGAAATCTCCTCTGACTGTCATGTGAAGGTGGGCTAGAGGGGGCATTTCTGGAGACTCAAGCAGGGAGCTGGGCAGAGAGGACAGGGCTGGACATTCTGAGAGGGGAAGTGCGGGGGTTCGGGGAGCCCTATGCACAGGCTGAGAGGCTGCCTGGAGGGGTACGTTCTCTAAGACCCAGCTAAGATTTGGGGATGAAAACAGGCTGATGGGGGTGATATGAGGACTCCAAGAGACTTCTGAGAGGCAGGGAAGTCTCTGTCCCCCCTCAAACTGTAGAACCACAATGGGCAAGTTGGCAGGTGGGGGGCAGGGGGCAGGAGAGATACAGAAGTGACCCAAGGGGCGTGTGAGCGTGTGGCTATAGATGGGTGATGGAGGGGGAGTCAGATTCTTGTTTGTTTGTTTTGGGGCCAAACCCAGCAATGTTCTGGGCTCACTCCTACCCCTGCACTCAGGAATCATTCCTGGAAGTGCTCGGAGGACCCTCTGGGATATCAGGGATAGAACCTGAGTCAGTTGCATGCAAGGCAAACTCCCTCTTGCCCCAAGAGTCAGATTCTGCCTCTCATGGCTGCGAGTCCACAGAGCCTCAGTTTCCCCTGCAATACCATGGGGGCTGGAAGTTCAGTCCACACTGGGTGAAAGCCCCTTGTCTCCCCAGGTACATTCCCAGGTTCGCAAGCCCAGGCCCCTGCCAGCCCAAATTTACCAGCCAGACCAGCCCAGCCACCACCATCAGCCCGCCGTCCCAACCCGCCCAGGCAGGGCCCAGTGGGCAGCGGGCGCCGGGAGTGCTACTTTGACACTGCGGCTCCTGACGCCTGTGACAACATCCTGGCAAGGAACGTGACGTGGCAGGAGTGCTGCTGCACGGTGGGCGAGGGCTGGGGCAGCGGCTGCCGCATCCAGCAGTGCCCCGGCACAGAGACAGGTGCGTTGGGCGGCTGTCCGGGACGCAGCACAGCACACATCTGGCCGGGGGCTTGAGTACTGGCTCTGAAAGAATGAATGGCCACAGGAGGGCAGGGGGAGGTTTGAGGCTGGGTTCCAGACACCTGTAGTGATGTTGGGGGGGGGGGGTCACAAAGCCGCGGAGCCTGGGTGGGCAGCTGGGACAGAGGCTGTTGAGGGGTGGGTATCAGACTCAGCCGTCTCTCTCTGTGCAGCCGAGTACCAGTCGTTGTGCCCCCATGGTCGGGGCTACCTGGCACCGAGCGGAGACCCCAGTCTCCGGAGAGGTGAGTCATCTCAGGGCCCCATGTACTCTGCCCGACTCTACCCCAGCTGTCTCTGCTTTCTAGGCATAGAGTAAGGAGCTAATGCTTGGTTTATGGTACCAGGCGAGTGGAATGTAGGGCATCCTGGCAAAGAGGCAGGTGTCCGCCACGGGGCCCATCTCTGGCTTCTCTGTTTCTTTCTTTATTGTTTTTTCTTTTTGGGTCACACCCAGTCGATGCTCAGGGGTTACTCCTGGCTCTGCACTCAGGAATCACTCCTGGCGGTGCTTGGGGGACCATATGGGATGCTGGGAATCGAACACGGGTCGGCCGTGTGCAAGGCACACGCCCTACCAGCTGTGCTATTGCTCCAGCCCCTGGCTCCTGTTTCACCTGCTTCTCTCGCCCTATTTTTCTGCATCCGTTCCCACCTTTCCCTGTTATCTACCCCCTTGCTGCTATCACTCTGTCTCATCCCCGCCGACCTTGGCCCTGGCCCCACAACCACATGATCCTCGCCATTTCTCGGGCCACAAGTGCCTCTGACCCTCCTTGCCACAGATGTGGACGAATGCCAGCTCTTCCGGGACCAGGTGTGCAAAAGCGGCGTGTGCGTGAACACGGCTCCCGGCTACTCGTGTTACTGCAGCAACGGCTTCTACTACCATGCCCGGCGGATGGAGTGCGTCGGTATGACCCCCGGACCCCCCTTCCTCTCTTCCCTGCCCAAGCCGCTGGCCAGCACCAGCAAGGAGACCTTCCTGGACGGGTCCCCCCGTCAGCGCGGAGCTGACCGGCAGCCCCTCTCTCCCGCCCTAGATAACGACGAATGTGCCCTTGATAACGATGACGAGGAACCGGCTTGCGAGGGCGGCCACTGCGTCAACACCGTGGGCTCCTACCACTGCACCTGCGAGGAGCCGCTAGTGCTGGACGGCTCTCGGCGCCGCTGCGTGACCAATGAGAGCCAGAGCCTAGGTAGCTCCGCCCCCTTGAGACCACGCCCTCGGCACGTGACCCAACCCGCCCACCACCCAGCCCCTTGCTGCAAGAGACCACGCCCCCTGCCTACTTCGGCCCTGCCCGCTTCCATCTCCGTTTTAGCCCGCTGGACCAAGTGTAGGGCTGGGCCAGAATATCGGTCCCACCTGAGTAGATGTTGTCTCCACTGCAGATGACAATCTGGGGGTGTGCTGGCAGGAAGTGGGGGTCGACCTGGTATGCAGTCGCCCTCGGCTGGACCGCCAGGCCACCTACACCGAGTGCTGCTGCCTGTACGGGGAGGCCTGGGGCATGGACTGTGCCCTCTGCCCTGCCCAGGACTCAGGTACTGACCAGCTGCCTTGCTCAGAGGCTCTACCCTCAGCCTCCCAATCCAGGTCTTTAAGCCTCCCAGATTTCCCCCATACGGTCCTCAGACCCTCTTTATCTCAGCCCACCCCTCAAACCTGGTCCCTAAGATGCCAGTCGCACCCTAAAGACCTCCTTGGAATCACAGCAGTGATTCCCAGCTCTGACTCACCAGGCCCCCTAAGCGCTGGGATCCGGTCACTCACACCTTAACCCTTGCTCCCCCAAAACCCAAGATACATCACGAGATTCCCCTCCTCCATATTCTGAATCCAGTCAGATACCACTTGGTTCAAAACTTCACCCGCCTGGCTCTCACTTTTCCTGATGATAGTCCCAGAGACCTGCAGTCCTGGAACCTTAGACCCCCCCTCCCCCACATCACCCCAATCTGAGTGCGCAGGACTCCACAGTCTCAAGTCTGGCCTTTTAACTCCGAGTGCCAGGTCCTTAGACCCTCCAGCCCCCTCCAAACTTCCGGGTCCCATCAGCTCATGCGTTCTAGCCCCACAGGGCCTCAGAGGCAATTGGGGGGAGGGGGTCACAGTCCCTAATACCACCACCGTATTTCTATAGGTTCTAGTCGCAGTCCCCGAATACCAATACTTGGCCCAGATACCAAGCTGCAGTCCTTAGTACCTTGAGCCCAGAGCACTAAAATCTTCTCTGATTTGAAATCCAGAACCCCGCCCCCATCCCAGCCCTCCAATCCCATACCCTGTTGTCTGAAGCCCTGCCCCTCTCCACTTGGCTCCTCTTCCTACTGCTGGCTGGGGGTTGGGGCCTGGGGACTTGGTAGCAGAGGATGGGCGGATGCGGAGTGGTGGGTGCCAGGTGGGCCCACTGACTGTTTGGCTCCTGTTTCCAGATGATTTTGAGGCCCTGTGCAACGTGCTGCGCCCCCCGGCATATAGTCCCCCGCGGCCTGGGGGCTTTGGACCCCCTTACGAGTACGGCCCAGACCTAGGCCCACCTTACCAGAGCCCTCCCTATGGGCCCGAGGTGTACCCGCCACCTGTGCTCCCCTACGATCCCTACCCACCGCCCCCTGGTTCTTTCCCCCGCCGAGAGGACCCCTACCCACCACCACCTCCCCCGGGTCCCTTCCCCCGCCGGGAAGACCCTTATCCACCGCCTCCTCCACCTGGACCCTTCCCCCGTCGGGAAGACCCCTACCCACCACCTCCGCCCCCCGGACCCTTCCCCCGCCGGGAAGATCCCTACCCACCGCCCCCGCCCCCCGGACCCTTCCCCCGCCGGGGAGACCCCTACCCACCACCTCCTCCCCCAGGGCCCTTCCCTCGCCGGGAAGATCCCTACCCACCGCCCCCGCCCCCCGGACCCTTCCCCCGCCGAGTGGACCCCTATCCACCACCCCCCGGGCCGTTTGCCCGCCGGGAGGCCCCCTTCGGGGCACCCTTCGACATGCCCGATTTTGAGGACGACGAGGAGAGCGAAGGTGTCCCCTATGGCGAATCTGAGGACCCCGTGCCGTCTGACCCGGGCACCCGATGGCGCTATCGACCCCGCGACACTCGTGGCTCCTTCTCTGAGCCCGAGGAGGCCTCGGAAGGTAGAGGTTATGCTGGTGAGCACGGCAGGACGGGGCTGGCGGGGTCCCAGACAAGGAAGGCGACCCGGACGCGGAGTGGGGAGGTGCAGGGGAGGGTGTTGGCAGAGATGGGAAACGGACCCGTGGGGTGGTGAGAGACAGAGACCCAGAAATCCGCCCCAGAGGCTCCCCCTGGACTCAAAGCTAGTAAGGCCAGAGGGAGGTCCGCCTCCCGGGGGTACCGCGTCCCCCTGCACAGTTTAGAAGGGTCCCTGCTGCTGGGCGCACAGCCCCACTGTCGGGAAAGGTGGGTAAGGGGAGAGGAGTCACGGAGGGTCGGTCACTGAGCCCCCCGAGCCCCCGGCCGCGTTTTCAGCAGGTGCAGGCGCACTGGCTGGGCCCTACGAGGGGCTGGAGGCCGAGGAATGTGGGATCCTGGACGGCTGCGCCCATGGCCGCTGCGTGCGCGTCCCCGAGGGCTTCACCTGCGACTGCTTCGACGGCTACCGCCTGGACACGACACGGATGTCCTGCGTCGGTGAGGGCCTGCGGGGCAGACTGGCAAGGGACAGGGTGGGACTGGGAAATGGGGGGGGGGGGTCCTAGCGCAGAGGTTCGGGTGCCCTGGGCCAGGAAGCAGGAATAGTTCTTGCACAAGTGGGCATTTGCCTGCCAAAGGCTGCTTCCTGGGGCTGTTTGCTTGACCTCCTCCCCGAGAGCCTCATCTTCACCCCAGTCCCGGGAAAATGGGCTGTTAATCTAGGGGCCTCCTTTCAACGCCTGGGGAACGGAGTGTTTTCCATCAAGGACTCGGGGGACATGGAGAGATCTCAGGCGCAGCCCAGCACCTCTCTGCGTGACCCTAGACAGGTCACTCTTTGCCCAGTTAGTAGGACCCTTCCCCCTCCCCCAGAGAGATAATACGGAGTTAAGTGACTGGCACAGACAGCAGCGCAGGCTTGGGCCCCACGCCGCTGGAGGCACAGCGGCACAGCGGCCGCCTGCACCCCTGGGGGTCCCAGGCAGGCCAGCTCCCCGGTTCCCCCCGCCCTGAGCAGCGCCCCTCCTGTCCCCCTCCCCAGATATCAACGAGTGCGACGAGTCGGAGCTGGACGCCCCACTCTGCGTCAACGCGCGCTGTGTCAACACCGACGGCTCCTTCCGCTGCGTCTGCCGCCCGGGCTTCGCCCCCACGCACCAGCCACACCACTGCGCGCCCGCGCGACCCCGAGCCTGAGCCCCAAGCGCCCCGCGCCTGCGCACTCGGGGCCCGGCGTCCCGCCCCCCCAGCCTGCGCGCGTGCGCACTGGTGACCCCATCCCGGTTCCGGGCCCCTGATGCAGTGGGGCCCCTCGGGGCCCGCACCCACAGCATCCTTCACGTTCCTCCTGCTCTCCTTTTTATACAATTTTTTTTTTTCAATTAAAAACACCTATTTTGTACTTCTGTTTTGTTCTGTGGGTCGCAGTCTGGCGCCAGGACTGGGCGGTTCCCCTTCACATCCCTGCACCCGCCCCCCTTCCCTCATTTCCCCCAGTGTCTGTCCCTGTCTGCCTCCAGGTCTCTCGGTCCCTCTTTTGTCAGTCTCTTTGTCTCCGGCTTTTGACTTTTGACTTCGTCTGTGTCTGTCTTATGAATTCGAATCTCCTTGAGAGATCCTGCCTTCTGTTTTTTAAAGTTTATTTTTTAAAGTTTACGTATATTTATTTGGGGGCCACGCCCGGCGATGTTCAGGCCTTTCTCCAGGATCTGTGCTCTGGGCTCACTCCTGGCCAGCCATTGAACCCAGGCGGCCAATTACAAGGCAGGCCCCTCAGCCACTGCTCTGGCCCTGGTGTTTTGTTTTGTTTTATTTTGTGGCCATAATGGAATAGTTAGAAGCTGGTTCGGACAAGTGCCCGGATGAGTAAATCTGATGAGTGAATCTGATGAGTACAAGGGCGATGAGAGATAATACAAGGGGGGGGGGGGATGCACTTGCCTTGCATGTGGCCAACCCAAATTTGATACCTGGCACCCGGTGTGGTCCCTGATTGCAGAGCCAAGAGTCTTTTGGTTTGGTTTGGTTTGGTTCGGGGGCCATCCATGGCAATGCTAAGGGGTTACTCCTGGCTCTGCACTGAGGAATCTCTCCTGGTGGGTGTGGAGAACCATATGAAATGCTGAAGATTGAATCCTTAGTGGGCTGCTTGCAAAGCAAGTGCCCTACCTACCGTAGGGCCTTAAAGCGATGGGGCCACCGACGCTCCAGGAATGCAGGTGCAGCAGAAAAGAACCACACTCTCCAGCACAGAGTGGGGGAAGTTGAAACTCTCCCTGCTTTAAGTAACAATATACATATTTTCATGGGCCCAGAATGGGACTCAACAGTTAAATATATTCCTTGCCTAAGTGAGTCCTGCATTCACCTTCCAGCACCCCAAAAAATAAACGGGGAGGGTCGAGCACACCCAGAAGTGCTCAGGGATTACTCCTGGCTCTGTGCTCGGGAATGACCCCTGGCAGTGCTTCAGGGACCCTATGTGATGCTAGGTTGACTGCAGGTACGGCCAGCCTCTACCCATTGTGCATAATATATACCTAGAGACATCACTGCTGGGGCACAGCAGGCTGGCCTGATGATTTCACATGCAGGAAGTCCAAGCTCAACCCACAGCACCACATGGTCCCTCACAGGCCTCCAGGCGTCACCCCTGAATAAGCTGCAGTAGCCTCTGACGACTTCTGGGTATGGGCCCCAAAACAAAACCACAAAGAAACCAACCCACCCCCACTCTGCTCTGTACCCCAATAAACTGATTGTGCTCTTTCCCCCATGGGGCCTGGTGGGCAATGATAGACAGCAGCACCCCTCCAGGGGACCCTGGAGACAGCTCTTTGTTGGGGAAGTTTGTATCTGCCCTCATGTAGTCCTAGCCCTAGGCTCCAGAGGGACAGCCTAAGGAGAGTGGGAGGGACACTGAGGACATTGGTGGTGGGAAACGTAAGTCCCCCATGCACTGCCAGGAAGGTCACACTAGTGGAAGAATTGTTGACATCTATCCAAAACAACCCCATTATCACCAACTTTGTAAATCACGATGCCTTGATAAAAATGACTATAAAAACAGTGGCCCAACAGACAGTACAGCAGGCAGGGCAATTGCCTTACATGTGGCCAACCCAGGTTCAATCCCTGGCGTCCTGTAAAGTCCCCCATGCACTGCCAGGAGAGATTCCTGAATGCAGAGCCAGGAATAAGCCCCCAGCATCACTGGGTGTGGCCCATAAATAAACAAGGAGGTATGCTGAGTTCCTTTAGAAAGCCCCAGGGCATGGGGCAATGGCCAAGTCTTCAGGTCCAACATCATTAAACTGCAGAGAACATGTGATGGAGGCATGGTGCTGCGCCAAGTTCAAGTTCCTTGGCTGCCAGAAGCGCCATATCGCCAAGAGATGGGATTTTACTAATGCGCATGGATTTGAAGAGATGGCCGCTGAAAAGCAGCCCAACCAGATGGCTGTGGGGTTAAAGACACCCCTAAAACTGACCCTCCAGGGGGAATAGTGGTCTCTGTATTCCAAGACCCTCAGAGCTGCCTCTCCTGAGTTCTGGTCTCCTCCTCCCCATCCCACTCCATTCTGCTTTCCTATCCAAAACAAAGCAAAAACACTCCAGGGGAGCTAGCATTGCCTGCTTTGTCTAGAGGAGCCTGGTTCGATTCCTGGCACATAGTCCCCTGAGCACTGTCGAGTGTGGCCCAAAGCAAAGGCATGTCTGACCCACAAATCACCCGTGTAGTCATCCCAGTTTAGCTCAAGTTGTGAAAATTGAGAGCCAGAGTCTCCTTCCTGAGCCGACCTTTTGGAGCTTTGGGGAGGAAGGGTCGTTCCCAAGAGCCACTGGGTCCTGAAAGTGTGTAGCTGCAGAGTACTGGAGACAGTTTGATGGCTTGTATACACCAAGTGCTTGCAGATGCACCTGGCACAGAGCAAGGGCTCAAGAAGTCATCAAAATATCCCTCCAGCTCCCTGGGGACACTGAGTCTTACCACACAGATGCTTTGCTTGGAGCTATTGTTTTGTTTTTTGGTGGGACACACCCAGCGGTGTTCAGGGGTTATTCCGGGCTCTGAGCTCAAGGATCACTCCTGGCAGGGCTCAGTGAACCACAGGGGGTGCTGGGGATTGAATCCGAGTTGGATGCGTGCAAGGCAAGCATACTGCCCATTGTCCTATGGTTCCAGTCTCCCTGGAGGTGATGTTTAGATCTGACTGAAGGAGGGAACTGAGGGTGGTGTTCCAGGAGAGGGAACAGCATGTGCAAAGGTCAAGGGGAAATGGAAGGGGAGTCTATTTTTAAATTAGCTTTTTGTTGTTGTTGTTCCCATTGTTCTATGTCAGTCTCTGTATCGGACAGTGCTGGGGCTGAAATGATAGTACAGTGGGCAAGGCACTGCATGCAGTCAACCCACTTTCGATCCCCAGCATCCCATATGGTCCCCTGAGCCCCACCAGGAGTGATTCCTTGATTCCTGAGTGAAGAGCCAGGAGTCAGCCCTGAGCATCGCTGGGTATGTCCTCTAAACAAACAAACAAAAAAAATAAATACCTGACTTCATGTGGTTCCAGAGAGGTACCTAGAAACCATTACCACACCGTACCTTCAGGACCGAGATGGGGTCCTAGCCCCAGGGGTTCTGACTCAGTTAGGAAGATTAGAGACTGTGGGTACTCGGCAAAGGTACCAGACTCAGTCTTAGAGAACATCAGGGAAGACTTCCTGGAGGAGACAGTTCCGATTAGTCTGCCATTCTAGATCCCTTGGAGAGCCAGTTGAAAAGTTCAGACTATTCACAGAAGAAAAATGCAAACAAACATAGTTTGTTTCCCCAAACTCCCACTTCTTCAAGCCTCTCTGTGAGAGACCCACTTACCCTCGTCATTTTCCGCTATCTTACACACACACACACACACACACACACACACACACACACACACTCACGCACACATGCACGCATATCCCTTTCACCACCCCATCCACGGGGCCAGGAGGACGCGCCAAGGATCTAGCTCTTATCCTGCCTCCGCCCCAGACCCGGCGCTATGGAACTCGCCTTGGCCAATCCCTTCTCTGGAATGTCCAGAAGGAAGCGGTCCAGGCCCGCGGATCGCGCAATCACGGGACAAGCTCCGCACCGCCCCCTTCCGGCCACCACTCGTCGGTACACCCCAAACCTCCCCAGCCTCTAGAGGCCGGTGCTCAGAGTTGTCATTCACAAGCAGTTCCCCAAAATTGTCCTGAGCCAGAGAGACAGTAGAGCGAGCAAAGCAATCGCCTTGCTTGCAACTGACACAGGTTCGATCCCAAGCACCGCAGAGGGTCCCTTTAAACCCGCCAGGAGTAAACCCTGAGTACTGCTGAGCAAGCACTCTCACCCCTTTTCCTTATGTTTTATTATCAGCAGGTATATTAGTTGTCTACCTACTTAATTTTGTTTATCTTTTTTTTTGTTTGAGGGCCACGCCCAGCCATTCTTACTCCTGGTTCTGCGCTTAGGCATCACTCCTTGCAGTGCTCAGGGGACCATACAGGATGCCGGGGATCAAACTCTGGTCGCCCAAGTGCAAGGTGCTTGCCCTACCTGCTGTACTTACTGCTCCAGCCCCTACATGTACCTATTTTATGTACCTAAATAACCCAGGGTCATGGCCAAAAGGGATCATGAATGAAAAGAGTATAGGTAAGTCCTGATTTCGTTCATACCCCTAATAAGGATATAAGAATCACCTGAGAACTAGGAACATCACCCTCTGGGGCCCCAGGTGAGGCTCAGTGGTAGTGAATTTGGTTTGCATGTGTGAAGCCCTGGGTTCGATTCCTGACAAGGGAGATTGCATTGCATGTCCTCTTTCCCTCTCTTCTTCCCTTCCCTTTCTCTCCCCTCGTCTGCACCTTCTTTCTTCACCATCTTTCCAACTCAGAATTGATTCCCAGCATCCCAAATAGTCCCCCCACCCCCATCCCTGAGCATTTCCAAGAGTAATTCCTGAGTACAGAACCTCAAAAAGCAAAACGAACAAAAAGACTTGACTTTAGGCAAATGAGCTGTATCAGTCTGGAACACTCAGTGACTCCTGAATACTGTCAGATGGGACTCAAGCCCCCCAACCTCCCAAAGAAGAAAGAAAAACACGTTCACAATTATGTACATAAAACTGTCTCAGATGCCATTCCAGTGCTGAATATTTCAATAAGCATTAAATAGTGCTTTTAAGGTCTTTTTTATGTCGCAATGTTTATTTTCTTTAAACATTGTTAATTTTTTAAAACAATGTTGATTCTTTTTCACTAGCGAAATTCAAGAAAATAAAATGTTTTTTAAAAAGTGGGGATGTCTGGGTGTTTGCTTTGCATGTGGCCAACCAGGGTTCCATTCTCAACACCCCATATGATCCCCTG